CTCTCGGACAAACACTGAGCATACGGTGCTTATTAATATTCGCTGGGTAAGGGCAAAACCTGTTATATATAATTAGCATCGGAATCGCTGTTTTCCAGCATTGGAACGAGGTGGGGGGCAAGATTTTTGCATGTTTGAATGTATTTACATCCTTCTTTTAAATGTAAACTTCATACATCTGACGTTCTGGTCCCACTGTGTCCCACAAGCTAAGTCCAGTTCGTAAGTGTGACGTCACTTCAGTTTAAACCACGCCCACTGCACATGCACTACACATAGAGTTACATGCATTGACTCTCACCGTTTACGTGGAACCATGGAACCGGAAGTTACCGCGCAACTTCAGCAATTGTCCAATGAGAGCCTGCAAATCATGGCGCGTCCGCCTTTGTGACGAAGTTTCTTGCTTGCCTTTTTGTGGGGCGGTAGTTACGTTTAGGGTGTATAGCACTAAAGGGGCGGGGACAGAGGAGAGGGACCCCTCACGGCTCAATCGACAGGAGCATCTGCCACCAAGTACTCTTGTCTAACCATCAACCGAAGAGGATGACCAGGTTAATTAATTACTGAAGAAAGGCCTCCTCCGGTCCTGAACAGGCGGAGACACAGATGCAGCGACTGATGCTGCCCCCGACGAGCAGAATGGTGCAGATACGGGGTCTAGCTCGTAAGGCCAATGAAGGATGAAGCAACCACACCCCCAAAGAGTCACCCAACGGTGAAAAGAAGATTGTTGGCCCAGTCGTAATTGCCCCCACTTAAATCCAATTCCAACTTGTTTCTTTCTTATTGTGCAACGGCTCCAGTGGCTTGCCTACAGCCGATAAAGTATACCTGCAGAGGCACCAGAAGATTGCGAGTGCGGCGTCCTACCTTTAACTTGCCCTCTTGATTGCCGTTTCTTTGAGTGCAAACCTTTACACCAAGCAAGAAATGGGACGCAGTGGTACCCCCGGCCCCCCACACGTCCAATCTCTATACACACCCAAGAGTAATGTTATACCTAACACATCCCCCTAGATGTCTGTAAAGATTTCCTAAGATTCCGATCAAACAATGACCAACACAAAGATTGGGGCGCTCTCCGTCCCATATCTTGCTTCATATTCTAAGGTGGGTCCATACAAGCCTGTTTTTGGTGTAGTTGATCAGTAATTATTGTGATTATCCTAGAACCCTGTTGAAAAACCTCCCACCAGCCTGTCGCCTCTTCCAGTGAGGGCGTGCTTGAAGAAGGAAGGAAACCACAGACGTGCGCTTATATGTCTGTGACGGAGACACGGTACCTGATCGCAGAAACGACTGGTGCGATACGAGCATTGAGCGAGAGCATGCTCTTATCTTGCGTCAAAATGACAGAAAGGTCAACATATTCCGTTCGATGTAATCTGAGATTGACTGATGTGCATGCAACATTTTCCTGTATCTTGAGAATCAAGAGGAATAGGCATAAAGCAGCCAAAGAGCCACGGAAATCTTGACAGTGGGACCAACAAATGGAACTTACCATTTCCCAGTGATAAAGTAGCAATAAACATTTTCTTTTCGTTTGTAGCGGATATTGTGTGCCGTATTGTATATGGTCTACCAAAGTTTGAAAAAAGGTCATTTTGGCTTGCAACAGGGATTTGTTTGTTTATTTGGTTTTGAATTCGTAAAAGTGCACGTTATTACTTTGTCCATGTGGTAAGCTATTTTGACTTTTGATAACTTTTGATTTTGATGTGAAAGTGTGAGACGTTTATAGTTTGTGAACTATTATGAAATTGTTTTTGTACTGGTGGCCAGGCATGGGTCATTGGTGAAAAATTTATTTCGTTGTTTGACTTGAACTACTGAGTGTCAAGCGTCCAAATCAGCGACAAAAAGAAAGGATTGCAATACCTGTTTAGCACTACCTCGACATATTTTCATAGCCAAACTGAGCCTGGAATAGTCCAGAGAAGAATAATTCCTTCTTGACGTTAATTTTCGTAATTTGACAATGGCATACTATTGTTAGAATTCAAGTTTTTTTACAGGGGTGTCAAAACCATAAGCAGCAAACTTTCTAACCATTTACGGTGATACGAGGTCCATTATTCAGAAGTGTATTTTCAAAGAAACTGTTGATTTTTATCCCCTTTCTTTCACATCGCCCTTATTTTTTCCAGAGGGCAACCCCCTCCCCGTGATGTCCATTGTCTTGACCAGATTTAAGAGGACGGCACACAACTAAAAATCTAACTTCTTAGGTAGGTTTCGCCCTGTGAAGGAAATTCAAAGCATTGCGGGAAATGTACTGTTATGATCATGGGTTTTAATCGGAGCCTCTCTGTAAGAAAATCTGAAAGTGAGATCCCAGAAACAATTATCTTCAGAAATCTTGGACAGGACAATTTTGCCGTGGGAGCGAAAGATTAATGCCATGGCAACCTGCTCAGTGATTTCTCAAGCTAGTCTCATTCGCCGAGGCAGAATGCTGAAATTAGTATCACGAATATCCATGATTCCTACAGCGCTATGCTTCTTGAATTGTTGGTAATGTAAATACATAATGTATTAAGAAGCACATAATATACCCATTCTTTGATCTATGATATAACAGAATAAACAGGCATACACAAAAAGCCGGGAATAAATTATGCACTTACACCAATCCACGCACGTGTATGTAACAGTGTTGCGCCGTCGAGCTGTACTGTACATGTACATGTACTGTACATACATGTACATGTACATGTACTACATGCCTGACGTTATCCAGTTGTGATGCGCGCGCATATACGAAGGCAGATGACTGATAAGGCCGGAAGTGAGTGGGAATAATGCTCGAAGCACGAAGGTCGTTCTGTGTCCCGTACAGCCGTCTAAGTACGTTGCAGACACACTAACCAAGTCTCTTGCATAGTCACATTGTAAATGGCCGCAGTCCATGTGAACTGCCACTGCATGCAAATTCCGATCGAGCTGAAAACTCTTCTGACCAATTTGTCACAGACGGCTTGAGTTTCGTTTCGACATGGTGACGAGTTGCTGTGCCGTGGGCTGCACTAACAGGAAAACCCGCAATTCTAAGCTTCATTTTTATACAATCCCCAAACGCAAGACCCCGTTTGAGCAGCGTAGGCGTCAACTGTGGCTCGAGGCCATAAGTCGGGACAACTGGCCTGAACAGCAGGTAAACAAGGCCTTCCTGTGCAGTGCTCATTTTATATCTGGTGAGTTCACAACTCCAGGCCTTGAAGCTTTACAGACTTGAGGTTTCAATAGGTAAAACTTTTATGACTCGACTTCGCGCTTGCCATTTATTATTTTGATATAGTATAACCCATAACCATGAGGTAGGCTACTGCGTGCATATTATATCCCTTGTAAGAAAATAAAGGCTGCGATTCCATGCGTATACCAATTAGCCAGTAATAGACTGGCTAAGCAAGATTAGGGAACGGATAGCTGAAGAACTCAGACTTGCAAAAAGTTGAGAGGGCTGGTGATGGACTTGTCTGTTATCCGAACGACCCCCCCCCCGAAAAAAAACAAACATCGTCAGGGCAGGCATGGGCGTAAATCCCAGGGGATGGGGGTATATATCCCCCACACACTTTTTTTTTGGGGGGGGCTATTGAATCATTCCCCCACACACTTTTAGTGATGAGCAAAGAAATCGAAGTGGATTGTGAAGAATTTTCAATATTTCCCAACGACTAAAATGTTTGCAAAATCACAGTTTAAAAAGAAAGCAATTTAAAAAAAAACATAAATATGCCATGCCGATGTAAGATTCTGCATGAATCTTTAGCATGCACATCGCCCCCAATATAGTGTAAATGGTGCCCCCCCCCGCTTTTCAAATTTTCATACATATGCAGCAAGGTATGAGACGGAGAGAACCCCCCCCGCTTTGTGTTGGTCATTGTCTCGCAGGAATCTGGGAAATTCCTTTTAGACATCTTGGAGGAATGTGTTAAGTAACAATAGTCTGCAATGTGTGTAGGGATTGGACATGTTGGGGGGTACCCCTCGGTCTCATTTCTTGCTGGGTATAAGGACATGGGCGACGACGATTCCTTCAAGCTCCAATATCGACCAGTGGTCTTTGGTCTGAGGTTATCATTATTCAGTGATGCTAGCTTGATAAGAAAGCACCAGAAGAATAAAATTTATAAATTATCAAGTATCCCGTTGCCACTCTGGAAATTTCAAATGAGGGTTTTGTGGGTGCATTCTGTATCTTGAGGTCAAGGCAACAGTGCTGCAGGCCCTTTCTGTCCACAGCTTGGATGGCGGAGTGTTTGCCGGAGCACGGGAACTATACCATTGGTATGGGAAAATTCAGACTTACACAGCATTCGCACGATCGTATCCTGAATTGGGGAGAAGTATTTCAGGCTTATGCGTCTGAAATAGACTGAAATTCTTTCGGGATTTAGGACTAGGAAGGTGTTGCTTCATTCAAGTTTCCTCCCGTGCCCCTGGCATCCTTGACGTCCTTGCTGTCACAGGCAAAGGGGCTCCATCGATTTTCGCTTACCACTATAGGTAATTGCAAAATAAAGAGGATTCAATGGACAATTCAGAAACATTAATAATGTAAAATAGTTTTGTCTTCTGAAGGTTGTGCATGGGACAAATTGATGTTACCAGTCTTTTAGTATGGCTCGTGTGTATAAAGCTTGAGTAATTCTGTGTTTGTCATGCCGTCCATAAAGTAGCTTTAAAAACTTTAATTCTAACGGGTATTTTTCTCATTGCAAAGGATTTTCAGGGCCAGTCAAACCTCATTCCAGACGCACGCATGACTTTATCCCATAATGCATGATCAAGCATGTTGTTCATGTTCTGGTTCAAATTATTACATTTCACTGCATTTCAGGGAAGAGGTCGGATGATCCAGAAAATCTAGATTTTGTGCCGTCAATATTCAACTTCACGTCATCTCAGCCCTATTCCAGAAAACATGGCAGGAAAGTTGGGAAAGTGAGCAAACTTAAAGACTCAGTCTCGACTGTTCCACCGTCAACTCTAAGCACAGCTTCAAGCACGTCGACTCGGGAGCAGAATGAGAACTTCACAGGCGGCAAGTCTCGTCATCAACAACCCGAACTTGCGGGGTGTGACCACCTAGATTCAGCGTGCAGACTATCACAGACAATAGCTGTTAGCTTGACAAATACATCTTCCGAACCCTCAGCGTCGGGGTGTAATCAAAAAAGTTCAAAGATCAGCAATAAACAAAAACTTACAACCAGACTTTCCAGCACATTTCCCCTACCCTTAGATTTAAGAACAAACTTTCCAGGAAAACAGGCGGTTATTGAATCACTGAAGACCGCTGAATCAATTGACGAACCGTTGGATTTCAGTGCTGCTTCTTACTCAGCGGAGACAACTCATCGTGCTAATTCAGCCTTTGAATTCAATTCAGGCCAGGCGATACAAGGGTGTCACGATTATTTGAATCTAATAAACGCAGCCAGATTAAAGCACAGAATGACACAAATGGTCGGTCATTTACCTACTCCAGACAAGTCAATCATTTCGACAGATTTCCAAGATCCAAATGCACAATACCGCCAACCTAGAAGGGACTATGATGGAGCAATGGATATGACGTCAAAGCATAGAAACCGTTTGCCTCAATATCACACCTGCACTTCCCAACTCTCAGAGGTGTTAACGCCAGTAAAGGTGTCATGTAAAGGCAAGTATTTTTCCGGATATGGGAATAATAATTATGTACAATCCCCAAACAAGACATTATAACAGACAGAATTTTGATTTTAATGATTGTTTTTCTTTTTCAGGAATGGATAGGATTGATGGACTCCATATTCCCGATACACGATCACACATTTATTTTCCAATCTTTGATCCAGCTGCTGAAATAAATGAGAACTTATGTGCAACTTCCGAAAAAAATGCTAGGACGCTATTCCTATCCGAGAATGTTCAAAACATCATATCTCACTTCACAGCAGTCAACAATTGTTTTGTTATATTTCTGGTGATGATGTTTTTCACCTTTTTTTCTAGGGAAATTAAGGGCAACGAAGGAATCTCAGTTGAGCGCGCGCGCCCTGTCACATGATCTTTCTGTGTCAGTAAAAAACCAGTATTCAAGACAGTAGAGGCTAAAAGTAAAAGGTCACGCAGCGAGCTTCTGGAACCCTTGCGCGGTCTGCCTATGGGGATTTTACATCGGGCCGTCCCATCACGTTCGATAAATTTTGGAAAAATAATTTCTTACTGAAACCACCCCATGAAACACTCATGTTAGAATTTACCTTTGTCTTCCTCAAGTAATATTTAGGAAAAGTCACCTGGAGATGGGTAAAAAAACGATTTTTATTAATGACCTTTCACGTCCGGCGATGTCGTACCTAGGTCTCCTTGTTCGTGCACGTTTGCTTTTACTCGCCGTGATTTCTTGAAAACGAAATTGTACAACCTTGCCAAAATTTACCTACCTGCAGTCGGTGGGTTCCAGAAGTTCCGTTGAGTTGACGTCACGCAGTTGTTGTCAGCAAGGGTTAGATACAATATAAGAATCTTTCGTAAAAGTATGTTTATTACCTTATAAACTGTCAAAGGCGGTAAAATATTTTGATATGTGTTCATTTCGGCTTTTACCCACAGACTACCATAAAATTTCAAACCGTAAATGTTCATCTGCGTACGAGACTGCCATATTACACTGTTCTTCGTGTATTTCAGACTTTCGGAAGTGATGGGTCAATTTTTGGAAGGAATTTTCTCTTTTAGATCCGGTAATTTTTCAGGTTCTATAAATTGATATACTAGCAAATATTTTCCAAAGCCCTTTTTCCAAGATGAATTTTTTTAACGAAGAAACTAACGAAGAAATATTACAAATTCTATCATCTTTACACGTTATTTTTCCTATCCAAGGGTTCCGGAAGCGCGCCATCAGGGGTCAACTTTCAGGCCCTATACCGGTGCGTTCGAGCATGCATATGTGTTAACACGAGTCACCGTACTCTCGAGCGCACGAACGGCAGGAGTACCGAGTCGCCGGTGTGCTCTCAATCTAGCAGAATATAGGGCCTACGATCGATCCGAGTGTAATGCACATGTACCATTTAGCTCCACTCGGAGTTAACAGAGTAGCAAACACGAATGCACCTTAATAGTTATTATACTTGGAATGAAAAAAATTATGGTTTCTTTCTATAACTGAGACTCCCAATCACGGGCGTCGCCAGGAATTTTTCCGGGAAACCTATTTTGGCTAGGGGATATCCGGGTGAGGAACAGTCATCAGCCAAAAAAAAAAACCACAGCGGGAGGGGGTCAGCTTTTATTTTTTTCAGAGTAAATTTGATGATTCTAATTCCATATCATCCATATTTTTGTTATTTCTTTCCAGTGGGCAGATGTCCCCTTGTTTTTCTTCCTCCGATGCCCCGGCATGTCCCAAGTCTCACGCGACGGAGTTGTCATTGTTCCCACGGTTCTATGCGAAGTCATGCGCATTACCGGTCAACGTGTTCTTTCCTTTTTCGTAGTTTAAATTATTAGACGTACCCTATCTGGATAAGTTGCCAGGCCGTTGATGACACAGGTGCATAGGGACCACTATTCCCATCGTTTGGGCTCTATTGTTTCTACGTCAAGTCTTTGACATCCGATCTACCTGTCTAAGATTGATGAGTAAAACCAAGGCTTGACTGTTCATGCACTTCGTCTAGCCATAATATGTGGAGTGTAAGTTATAATAGACAGACATATCATCCCCATCTGGGTAGTTTGGAATTCAAAGCTTGCGCATAAATAGCATTCGTGTAAAAATAAGGACGTGCCGGGATGGCCCTTCTGTCAGTTTTTTTTTAATCGGAAGACGAATCTGATTTGACTTCCGGATACATTTGGACCTTTCAGTAACATGGGTTTATACGTTATCACTAAGGGAGGCCTCGGTGTAGCGCTCAGTAATTTTACAAGTGATTTATCGACATAGTAGTTGCTGCTAAACATTAACAATTATCATTTCCTTTATTCACTGGGGGATCCGGATCCAGGGGGCAACGGGCATCTTCCTAAAATCGTAAGCTTCACAATTAAGCATTGATTGAATCACATAAATAGACAGCAACAGCAACCTGTATTGGGGAAATTGAAAAATTCTTTAACACAGAATTCGAGGAAAGAAAATTTGAAGTTCAGCTCAACTCGGCATTGCATGGCATTCTGACTTATGGACGCGGGTATCTTGGAAAACGCATATCTTTTCGATGCCATAGTGGCAGTGCACTGTTGGGGTAGGAAGGATGTTCAGATGTGGGTTAATTTAATGTGACCCACACTTTAATTTATAACCCTTGACTGATTTATCTCTTTTCTTGTTACCTTGCGTCTATAAGCGGAAATCCTGGAGGTTGGGGGGATACTGGCGCCCGGGGAAAAGGGGACTTCGTCTCAGGCTGGTATGGGCTGGTTGCAGCTTCACTATGACTGAGGTCACGCGACGATTGTTCCACACTTCCAGTGGCAACTCATCCCCGCGTGCACGAATACGTGTAACGTGCATTGATTGACAGAACTAAACGCTTTACCGCAGCTGGGTTGTAGCTCTATGGTGTACCATACTTTTCTCTGTAACCCTTCAAAGAGCAACAGCGGGGTTTGTTTTCCAGTTGCATGGCGATTGTTGCGATTGGGGTTGGGCTTTTCAGTCTGAATGTTCAGGAAATTGGACCTCGAATTGGTGAATGAATTGTAAATCTTTTCATTCTCGAAAGTGTGGTCATTTAATTAATTACCAGTTCAGGGAGAGTTAATTTTTTTCACGCAATTTCTTCTATTGTCTTTATGTGTTCCAAGTCAAAAGGTCCATGCGTGGCTGGTCTTTGTCTGGTGCATTGTTTGCATTTGAAGCTTATACGATAGCGCCCTCATCGTTTGATTCATAGAATACGTTCGTACAATGTACACGCCGTTAATGCGCAGGGAACGCGTTGGTACGGTTTAGGGTAAAGAAGTGAGGGGTTGACGGACTGACCGACGACATTTCCCCCTTCCCAAGCCGTTGAAATGCTCCTAAGATCAAGTATATAGTGTCTGTAACAACAGTGTTGCCATGGCAGCTAACATGTATCGGGTTGGAGGTAAGGAAAACCTGTCTGTTTGTAGTGCGTTTTTGTCGTTCAGTATTTGGGAACGTTCAGAAGGCCGACCTCAGCGCTGCAGCTACGCGCGTGTTCCGTAATCTGTAATGGCCGCTTGTCCTGCCTGCGACGCTGGCGCGCAATGGACAAATGCACTCGTCATGACTTCGTTGGCTTTTTGTCATTCGATCTGTGATTCCTGTAGTTTTCCTGGTTCCCAAATGTTGTTTTTAAAATGGCCTGAAGTTACTTCCGAAGGGAAGTTAAGTTCAAGTCTTGTCACATTTTGGGCGGAGTCACGACCTTGAGAGTGGGAGGCAAATAAAGTGTAAACACACGTAGGCCCACCATCTTTAATAACTCATGCTGTTTTAATTTCATATGCCCCTGCATTGGTTCATATAGTTTATACGAATGTGCATTTGACTTAAATTTCTTGATTTGTAACAAAGACGGTGCATATTGGGAACTAGTTCCTAATTATTTTGTAGGCCCCTAACACTGACACCAACAGGAATTTACTGGCACAGCACTGAACATGCATGTCAAGTTGGACAACGTATGACACCCAGTTACAGTTTGGTGTCAAAAATGAACAGTCATAACAGTTGACATTCTTCATTTGATTCTAATGAAAAACAAAATCTTATTTTTGCCTTTGAGAAAGATTCTGCTAGGATCGAAACATCAGGCCCTCCATATTTTGTGATATGTATTGAGGTCACTGTAGTCAGCAAGCAGTTTGCAGCAGTTCTGTATTACATATGTTCTGACAAACAAAATTTAAAAGTTAATTGACTTTCGTTTGAAGTGTTGCAGTAACTGAAGACGGGCTTTAGCCTTAGGCTTGACGACGGAGCATGTCAAGCTCAACCCTAGGTTTCATCAGAGCAGCCACATTGCATAAGTATCAAAGGATAATTAAAAAAAAAAAGGTTTTACAATGTTGACAAAACTCTATGAGTTTCCATTTCTTTTGTTTCCAGATTACGTGTATTTTGAGACATCATCTTCACAGCCGTACCTGATTCGACGAATTGAAGAACTGAACAAGGTTGGTCAAAGTACATTACATTATTGCAGAGTGATGCCTTTGTTGCGAAGGTTGTGGTTATACAAAATGTTAAAAAAGTCAGAGTTATTGTAGACGAGTCTGCCACAAGTCCATCAAGTAAGCTAGACCCCTCAACACGTAATCTTATCCAATCATAAATCTCGTAGTTGTTAACAGTGTCTTTGTCAAAGTTCATGTTAACATCTCGTAACCAGAGACTGGATGGTTTGTGTTTGACTTGCAAGGACTTCCGAGGGCTTGATTGACTACAATTCAGCACAAAACAGTGATTTATGTGTGTAATACCATTCAGGCTTCACCCCTCTCTATGGTAGACATCGGTGAGTGGTTGAAAACCGAATATGGCCCCAAAAAGTTCTGTCGAAGATGGCAATGCAACTGCAGAATCCTTTCAATGCCTGTAAAACTTCTATTATGATTAACTCTTACCACTTTAAAACAGCTCCTCAAATGTTACACTTATTTTCGAAGCACTTTGAAGGAATATTGTCACTGATTCTTTTAATGTTATCTTTGCCAGACCGCAAGCGGAAATGTGGAAGCCAAAGTTGTCTGTTTCTACAGGAGAAGAGACATTCCAAGCTCCCTCATCCAGCTAGCTGATAAGCATGCTTGTAAGCAACTCGGAAGATGATACTCTTGGCATTTTTAGAAGAATATTTGTGGCATTGTTAATGTGTATGCTATGTATGGATGGAGGTGCACGTGCATGTTCATGCACATGTGCAAGTACATGAACAGATAAATACACCACCGTTATTTCTTGACCTTCCGGATGGCCCCCTTTAATGGTGCAACAGAACACTTGGTACACGTATTAGACACAAATGATACACAGGCATGTAGCCACTGTTTGTCGTACTATGGAGGGAGAGACATGGCGTTTCCTATTATGCGTATGATCGAGTATTCAGGAATATCTATGACAGTTTAGCCAATTTGGTTAAGAGCCTGTCACACGGCCAGTCCTTAATGGTTGATAAGGAACCAGCTCATGGGAGGCACATGCCGCCGCATGGTGAGATGGTTGTTTGAAAAATTTGTTGAACAAAATCGTTGGTAATTCACAGTTTGAAACTTCTTTTGACTTTCCGACTCTGGAGGATTTCATGAATGGGAATGGTTATGTTCTTGGTCTCAAACATTCATTAAAGACCAGCTCAGGACACTGATGATGTCTCTCACCACTGGCTCATCATGTTCTGCACCACCTCCTGTAATATATACCACACGCATGCCAATCTCCAGTTAAAGAGAGTGTCAATGACTACTTATGAGAGGCTCAGACCATAATATTGCTAGAGGGTGATGCCAAAAAGTGAAGTAAAATTGTAAAAATAAAAATCCTTTGAAATTTGTAATTAACTAACTTTATTTGAGTTTCTTACTCAAAACTTATTTAAGAATGGGAATAAATATGTGACTGGCAGGTGTTAAACCTTCATTTTATACCCTGTCAGGAAAAGGGATGCTGATTATGTCCCTCGCCTTTGGCTTTGGCCATTAGCAGCATCCATTTTCCTGACACCAGAATTTGTAAGACCGTCCTAGCACGTATTTATTCCCTTAACATAATACTCGCCCATAGACTAATCATAGACATAAACAGAATTGAGCAAAGGACTAGCCTCAGAGAGCAGGAAAAACATTCTGTTGTCTTTGTGAGTCCGTTCTCTGTGGTAAAATGAAATCTGTTGACAATTATATACACATGAATATGCAAGAAATGCATACATATATGCATAAGTAAGGACACCAAAAACAGCCTCAGTGCTGGTCAAACCTTTTTGCCATTTAAGCTGCAAAATTACTTTAGAATGAACCTGCAAACAGTCGTCCTTATGAAGTGTAGCGGAATACATCTTGTTTGTATGTACTGAACATGAAGACAACAGCAGTATCGTGTCCAAAACTAGTATCAAAGTGAACACTTCCAGGGTAATTTAGCTTTCTTTTAAGTGTTTCTTTGATTTGCTTCAAACCCTACAGTTAAAGATATAAAAAGCATTAATTCACTTAGATATTGGAAATCAGCCAGGTTGGTTGTTCAGCAGTATATATGCCCAAATGAAGTACATCAACAGTCATTGGGGAACAAATACATATGTGCAAGGTCTGCCTGTCAAATCCATCACAGGCTGACTCATGTGGAGATTATTATTTTTACCATTTAGGCATATTGTCTAAGTTTTTTCACCATGTTCAATGTCTCTACATTTCTTTGGAATTTGTTTTCGTCCTGCCAGTTCACATCTCTGCGACTCTGCCTGGTAAGAAGCACAGGCCTTGTGGGCCGCAGGCATCGTTGTCGTCATGAATTGATATTTCTCATTGTCTTTCCAGTGGCCCTCGAAGATGAACAAGAGGAGACCCTGGAGGAGTTGTCGGAGAAACAGCGCCACCAGCTGAAGCATCGGGAGCTCTTCCTGTCACGCCAGCTGGAGACGCTGCCAGCGACCCACATCCGGGGGAAGTGCACTGTCACCTTGCTGAATGAGACAGAGTCTCTCCTTTCGTATCTGTCCAAAGAGGTTTGTAATTTCAACTGTCATGTTTGAAGCACACTTGCGTCAGCAAGAAGACATGAACGTGAAAAGGACGACCTCAAGAGAGATGGCCTCTTTCCCTGTTGGGCCAGTACTTCATTTCTTTGTCATCGTTCATCGTGTTCCTTGTCACTACTTTAGTGACCCATTCTGTGAATGGTCTCGCGTCTAGTCTAGTGTCCTGTTTCGGGATGGTCTCTACTGCAACACTGCTGCTGAATAAAGTATACTTTAGAAATAACATGGAAGAGTTCTAAGCATTTTGCAGCATGAAAGTCCACGTACATGTCGTGCCATTTTCAGGACATTTTTGATTCATTGAAAATTAATCTGTGAAAAATCTTAGTCATGTTTATCCCACTGGAAGAAGAGCAGTGAGTAGGTTCCATGAACAATTGGAACTACAGCCAAGCATTTCTGTCCGCTTTTTGTGTCCGTTGTTCAAAATGGAATGTATTTTTCCTTTCAGATAGAAAACAAACGTAACTTTCTGTTCCAACTGCAAACAAAATGTGGTGACACACTTGACGTAACTTTAATTTCTCAATATAGTCTTTCACTTCCCTCCTGGCCCATGTATTCTCTTTCAGGATGCTTTCTTCTATTCCTTGGTCTATGACCCCCAGCAAAAAACCCTCTTGGCTGATAAGGGTGAGATCCGCGTCGGTCCCCGCTACCAGGCAGAGATTGCATCAATGCTTGTCGAAGGTAGGTCACCAGTGTAGCGGTGCCTAGTCAGCTTGATAATTTCATAATGTGATCCAAAAGACACTACAGCCATTTTTGTAATTACAAAATGATGAAGAGCCCATCAAAACCAAGTTCCAATGGGAATGTCATAGGTTTTTGCTCTCATGTAGTCGAAGTCATCAAGAGGGGAAGATGACTGTTGAAGTTTGAAAAACCCAATTTCCTCATAAACCATTATGTTTTGTTTTTGTTTAAGGTTAAAGTAAGCCAATTGGATATCTCAATCAGGGAAGGTCATTGTGATTTGGAATGTGGCTTTGCTAACAGCCATGTAGTGTAGTGGTTATCCTAAAAGTGGTCTACGACAGGCTTCGCTGTGTACATGTTGAGTTAGAGTACCACATTTGCTTCTTCATGAATCATAACTGTTGCGGTAAAGCCAGGCATAAACTGAGAAACCTAGCATGGTGGTTCTCTCCTGAGCCCTGGTTTTGCATTTGTTGGCTTAATTTTCAACCTGTTTTCTTTTGATCGTCGATTACCTGTTTCCAGATGAGGGGGACAACCGAGATTTGGCTAAACTAGAGACTAAAGTCTGGCACCCAGACCACAGCCTCCATGATCGTCAGATTGACCAGTTCCTAATCTTAGCAAGGTATGTAGTGGCATTATTTGTTTTAACCCTAAGCACAGATAAGCTCAAGCACGGATAAGAGTGCCCATGTACAGTATCATAATTTCACCCCAGTCTTCAAAAATCTATGACAGTAGAGCACTTTTGATCACTTGGAAATGGTCAAACAAAGCTTGATAGTAACACAAAAATCTCAAGAACTAGCCCTATGAACATCTGATTGTCGTGTGATACTGGTGTCTCATGTGTTCTTATAGTGTCCATCATCTTTACCGTAAGTCTTAGAATGCCAACCTGCTTTCGTCATCACACAGCCTTCTCATGGCAGATATCGGTGGTGAACCCTCCTATGGTTTAACAGCACAGATATGCATGAATGCCAACAGTCACTCTTGTGCATGTATTTTTTACATGGAACACAAATATGCATAGGTTCATTGTGCATACAGTTGGTTGCCGGCGTAAAATGACACAGGATCTTTTGTGCAGTCCTCTTTACTGCATTTGGCTTATAGCACAATCATGCACATGAAACAGTGAAGCACAGTTGTTGGACAGCGTGCAATCTGATATTCCTGTGTAGGATAGTTGGTGCAGTGCACAACACGACACAGCTGTGCAGCTTTGTGCAGCTGATTAATTGACCCAAAGAGTGACTTCAGCATAGGAGGGTTAATAGGCAGGTCCTCCCACATGGGCTAGGAGACCTCATGGCTGATGTCAAATTGTCTCTCTCATTCACCCATTGTCTCCCCACACCAGAGGTTGTTGAAGCAGAAAGCTACAAAGAGTGCAAATGGATCTGTCGATTTAAACAGCAATTCCACAAGGCAACAATCAAGAAAGTGTGTCTTGAACTTGCCGTCCCCGAGTTGTCCCAGTGTTATGTCATTCCAAACCCAATTTTCTTTTCACTAACAGGTCTGTTGGTACATTTGGTCGAGCTCTAGACTGCAGCAGTTCAGTCCGTCAACCTAGCCTCCATATGAGTGCTGCGGCAGCATCAAGGGATATCACACTGGTGAGTTTGGCACCATGTTTCTTCACTGAGTTTGATGTGTGTGTCACTTAAAGTGTCAGGGTATGAAAAGTCTGTCAGCCAATTTGTCGACTCAAGCGATGAGCACCGTGCTTGAGGCACCACACGTCACAGTTGCCCATACAGCCAGTCAGTTCTTTCTTGGATTCAACTGCTGCACCCTCCCTCGTGACCTTACCCATCGTGTTCGCTTTGAAGAAGTTCCTGTGAAAAGATTTAAGACATTTACAGTTGATATGGTTAATTACAGAAATTAGGGGTCCAAAAGTGTGACATTTTTGTGTCCCTGTTACATTTGACCTTTGTTATTTGACATGGAAATATCACCGGCATTTGATCTCAAACTATTACGTTTGTTTTGCAGGGAATTTGCATTAATTTCTCACTCTTGGATATTAGAAAATGTGTTCTGAACTGACAAAATCATTTGTCAGATGTGACAGGGACATCAAAAAAATGGACCCCTAATTTCTGGAATTGCCCACACATTACACACACCATTTTAGAAGACTTTTAAATTGTGTAGTAGTGGCATGTATTTCAAAACGCTTTAAACCGTCAGCATCAAACTGTACAAAAATCCATGGACAGGATGTGGACTCTGTGAGAACAGCTTGCAGCTTTGGCCTAGTGCAAGAACTGGTGTGTGGCAGACAATACATGAGTGCACTTGGAGTGTACTCAATCAAATTTCATCTGTATGTTATGCTCACACTTACAGCATTTTCACAGGCAAATGCATGTGAGCGACGGTGTGCAGTGCCAAGCGTCCATCCGTCTCTCTTGTTTCCACTGCCTAGGGACTATTTCTTCACCAAGCCCGTCCTGATAAACCATTTCACTTGACGTTTTTGTGAACCTTTCTCTACCAACTATCCGTTAGAGTTAAGCACGTATTGTCGTCATTCACTTCCCTTGCAAATACAAAGTCATCTTTCCTTTTCCTGCCAGTTCCATGCCATGGACATGCTGCACAGCCAAGGCTACGAGATCACCAAGGCAGTCTCAGCCCTGGTTCCCACCGGGGGGCCGGTCATCTGCCATGACCAGCTGGAGGAATGGTCCGCCTCTGAGGCCAACCTCTTTGAAGAAGCCCTGGAGAAATACGGCAAGGACTTCAATGACATCAGACAAGACTTTGTAAGTTGTTAACTCAGTTGAGGGCTCTCTTGTTTTTGTCAGTCTGATTGAGTCAGATTTGCAATTTACATCCGGCAGTGTTTTTGAAAGTAGGTGAATGAAGCAACATTCTTTCCAGTGACTGCATGAGTACAGTGTACTTCCAGTATTCATGTGACCGGTAACTTTCCCGATTCTTGGTCCATCTTTCATTTTGACATCATCTGAACCCATTTAAAAGCAGAGTCCTGATTATTATGTAACACCTGCCCACTTGCAGCTCCCTTGGAAAACACTGAAGAGCATAGTAGAGTATTACTACATGTGGAAGACCACAGATCGCTACGTCCAGCAGAAACGTCTCAAGGCGGCCGAGGCAGAGAGCAAACTCAAGCAAGTCTACATCCCCAACTAGTAAGTAGGAGGTCTCGGTATTGGTTGACTCGGCCTTGGGATTGGAAACTTCTGTCAGAGCAGCAAGTTCATGGAACCATCCGATTGAGTTGAACATGGGGTATTAGCCACTTTGCTGGCTCAAAGACATTTCTTAACCCACCCTACTCACACCTACCAAGGTCCCTGTGGCCACGGCGTGAAATAACAAATCTAAGCTTTCCGCTGGCCTGACATTTCAATCCCAGCAGAATCTTTGACTTTGAGAAAGGATCGATACTTCAGGCACTTTTTGATGTTTCACATTTATGATGAAAGAAGATCAGTTTCTGCTTTCTATAATAAATTACTGAGCATCTTCATCTGCACTCCCACGACAAACGCTGAAGTACTCTGTCATACTACTGTTTCTCCAAATATTTTTGTTTTGTCTATTTACAGTAACAAGCCCAACCCCAACCAGATCCCCAGCAAGCCCAACATCACTCTTGGAAGCCAGATGGGTGTAGGAGGGGCACCAGGCATGCCCCCTGGGGTCACCCCTGGCTGTAGGGCCTGTGAAAGCTGCTACGGTAAGGATCTCCGTCAGTCAGTCAGTCTGACTGTCTGTCTGTCTTTCACTGCTGTGTTGGTCTTTGAATAGTTTCACTAAGTACGGTGATCAGTTCTTATCTCTGATCAGCACAGTTTTATGCAGTCTGCGCCGGATTTTACCAACTTCTGCAGTCAGTACAAGATTCTGATATCCACATGTTTCCTGCTATTCACAGCAAGTTCCTCTTATCAGTGGTATTCCTGGGGACCTGCCAACATGCAGTGTCGTCTCTGTGCCACCTGCTGGATCTATTGGAAGAAATGCGGTGGCCTCAAAATGCCAACTCGACTTGGTGAGTTTTGAATATGAACAGTAGAATGCACCCCCCTACAAAGATAGTGTCTCAAGTGGTCAGTTGCAAATATTGTGCCAAACACATTTACTTCTTTGTTAATAAGAAGCACGTTCCTGTACATCATTGTTTCCAAGGTGGTTTTTGAGTGGAGTAGTGCTGTGTAATGTTGGGGTAATGTGATCAATATAAAATATAATTTGTATATGTCTGATAGATATATATGGTTGATTTATGGAAAGGTTATCATGTTCTGGCATAATAAAGCCAGGAAGAAAATTAAGAGCGTTTTTTTTGCTCCTTTTATGTATTTTATTAAAAAGAGGAGGATGTCACAACAGCATCAAAACTTTGCTGACAGGTGTTTTTTTGATCAGTACATTATCTAAACCTTCTGAATGGAAACTGCTCAGAGAAGAAGACAGTTGTTTTTGCAGTACACGGTAGAAAAGAAACGTGGCAATCTGGAGATGATTTGGTCACGCTGAGCCAATTACTGGCAACAAGCGCTCTATTAGTTATATCGTTAACAAATGATATTTTCCTGTTGACACCAGATGGCGACCGTCCAGGACCTCTACGTAACCGCCCTGAACGCCCCCAGGGTATGGGCACATTTGGCATGCATCGCCCATTCCGTTGTACCATCAGTGGCTGTGGCAAGGTGAGTCCATAGTGCGCTGTTGTTCCTCCCGTCTGATGGACTCACTGTGTTATTCGTTTCATCAAATAAGCATGAGATCCAAATATGCCCTTGAAGCGATTCCTTTGAAGTAAAGCGATGGTAGGAACTGTCCACGTTGCCAAACTGCTTCTCTTAGTCGTCTGTCATTTGCTCTAACAATCAGCTAGTAATGTCATTCCCATCAGATTGGAGAACCACTCACAAGGAAAGAAGTTGTGTTGCTGTGTTTCTTCTGACTATCGACCTCAAAAAGTTTTGAGTTTTTCTCTTTGGTTCTGTGGAATAAACATTGCAGCTACATGTGACCTGCCACAACAAAATGAAAGTAAAGTCGCATCCAAATCGTTCCTATTTTGAGGGTTCAAAGTCAGATATTGAAGTGGAGGTCAATTTTGGGGTTTTGCAATATTAGAGAGAGTAACCCGTCTCCTATTTAACTGGAAATATTTCTAAGGATCATATCTTTAGAAATGTCATTTTCTCAGCAATTTTTTATGATACCATTGTTTGTGCCTGGTCTGAAATGTTGAAACAGTGTCAGGAACAAAGACGCAAAGTTGCCAGAATAATGTCACATTGTCACCTATACTTTTACCCTGGGTTTTCCTGTGTACATGCCATTGGAAAGCTCTTTTTCCACTGAATTAAAAAATATCAGTATCTCAATTTTTGAAAATGTCCAACTTTCAGCGCATTTTGTGATGACAGCTCATATATATACTCCAGTGGAATCCATATTTGAGAATTTTCTTACGGATAATTCCCAAATCTTTCCCTGTTTTTTTTTCCGGTTTGACCAGGAGTTCAAGCTGAAGGCACACCTAGCCCGCCACTGCCAAACTGTCCATGGACTGACCATCCGCACCAGTGGGCCCCGAGCCCTGGGCCTGAAGACTCGCCAGGCCTTTTATCTCTTCACCACACCACTGACCAGGCTGTCCCGCACCGTCTGTCCTAACCTGCTGAACATACGCCACGCTGCCCGCAGTCCGTTTGAACCCATCAACATCGCTGCCATTAAGCAAGCCTGTGAGTGACTCTGCGAGCCACGGAGCTTGAGTAGTGTTATACTAGAACAACAACATGGGTGTTTGCAGAATGCACTGATGTTAGATAGAGTGGGATTTGAAATAATATATGTTAGGCAACGTTACCCAGGTTGACCAAAATGAAATCCCCTGCACTAATCATGGGTTTGGTTTGGGTGTATTGGATTTGGATGACATGGAATAATATACTGACATAGAGAACAAATTAAAACTCAATAAGCCGTACTTAAAAAGTAGTACAGTTTAAGCTTCCTATTGGTTGGTGCACAAAGATGGTCTGAGCAGGTTTCACAGAGCAGAGCATGTTATTCTTGTAATAAGGTTGCTTTACAATAGTGCGGCATCAAGAGTTTGCAACGCGTAGTCCAATCATAATGCGCAAAATTTGTCGATCCAATGCGCATTTGCAAAGGGTCGACAAATTTCGTGCGTTATGATTGGCCAATGTATTGCAAACTCTTGGTGGCGCACTAGTGTGAACTGCCTGTATTGGAATGTTAGATAGCTGTATAACTCAAACCCACAGGGATGCAACTGCAGTCTGTTCTTGTTAAAGAAAAGGTGCAGGGGCCAGGCAAAATTCTTTGTTATAAGCAAGACTTTTAAAGAGTGGAAAAACAAAAACAACACAAGAACTCAAGAAACTGGAATTCGCACATTATCTCTCTTTATACCAGTCTTTAATTATAACAGTGTTCGTTATATCCCGAGTCGGCTGTAAATATGTGGGTCAGAAATCCTGCTGGAATGTAACAATATGCAACAGATAACTTTGTGAGAAGCTCATCAATGCATACAGCATCAGACTTTGAGCGTGTCAGCCACCACAGAATGCAATTGTAGCATCCTTCAGTGAGACTGATCCACTGATCTCTGCCCAAGTCTCATAGATCTACTCTGGTGTAACCACCTGCATTGGGCCATACAAGTGTAAAAGCTGAAGGAGACGTGCACTATGGAATGTCGCCATCTTGACTTGTCTCACAACCACATCCTTTCCTGGGTTTTCTCGGCAGGTCAAGTGCTCATTCCGGAAGGAGAAAGCAAAGCGAAGAGGTTCAAGGCTCGTAACTGGCCTAAGGTGGATGTGGTCGTCACTAAACTACAAGGAATGTTAGAAGCCAGCAGGAAGAGTGGACGAGGTGAACAACCAAACATTTCTGAAGAATGTTATGCCTTAAGACCCAACCAATTAAGTAGTGTTTTCCTAAGTGTGTTGACGTGGTGTGTATTAAACTTAACCCATATCCACTGAAATTGGCAAGGTGGTTTGGCAAAATTCTGCAGTATTTGTGAAGGGCAGAGCCAAACCACTGTTGTTTGATGTGTTACTTGACGCTTCTGAAAGTCAAAATGCAAAGAGTGTGTCATTGGTTTCATTTGCAGTGGAGTTTTTGAAGGTTGAGAAGGCTGTTAGGAAATCAAAGAGTCAGAGATACTCTAAAAGAATAGACAACTGCTCACATGAACAGTCTTTCACTTTTCTGCATCGGTATATTAAAAAGCAGGTGACAGTTAATTTTAATAGAAATGATGCGTGGAATATTTGTGGAGTTTTTACATTGACTGGATGGGAATGAAGACCACTTGCTGATCCATATAATCCACCAATTTGTTTGCTCTGAAACAAAAATATTGGCACTTGATTCAGATTTAGCTGATGGGCGCAGTGCAAGCACCTCAGGAACCAGCAGCCAGCAGGCCATGTGGTCCAAGGGAGGACGCTCTGACCTGAAGGACACCTCGTCCATCAGCACCATCTCCCCAACCATGATGAGGAAACGAGGATATGAACACAGCACCTCGGCCGACGGTAAGCAGGCATTGTGACTGACATGTTCCACGATCTTTGTTATGACTCCAGCTAATCCCTTTTAACCACAGTGGTCAGAGCTAGTGGTCACTGGTCAGGGTTGAGAGCTTAAATCCAAACACGAGCATCCAAAATGGAAAAGTAAAATCGAATAATCGTTATCAACTAACTTGGAACCAAGAGCATGTTCTAAATGGCTATTTACAGAACAATACTTAAATCGTTGTGCTTGATTGTATACAGTGTTTTCCAATTTCAGCTCCTGCCAACAAGAGAATGCAGTTGGCCCCACAACGCCACATTCCCAAGAAAGGTAAACAGCGACAACTAAATTCGTGAATGATTACTGACCATACCAACTACAGTGCCTAGCACTTGCCACGCTAAATTGCCACACTTGCTACAGCATAAAATTGTTGACATGGGATGGGAATCAGAGATCATGTTAGTTCTTGGCATCGACTGGCAATGCAATTAGGTGTTAGTGTAGGTTGTGATCAGATCTGCAGCACTTTACACTTAGACTGTGCTCAATTTGCTGTTGATAATTTCGGGTTAACTCAGATGCTTTTAGTGTGATTGTTTTATCAGTCTTGTTTTATCTTTAATCGCATTGATAAACATTCCAGACAGGTACAGACAAGGGTAAAAACTTTTTATTGTCGGTACAGTTTAGGTTTGCTATGTGCTTTCTACGTGTAACATTTGTAATTTGCATGCGTTACTTGAAGGTGAAATGTCCGAGGAGAATGGAAGTGGAGAGGCTGGCCTTCAGGTAAGCCGTGAGGAATTCTGTGACCATCAAAGTCATACCAATGAAAGCTTGAAAGCACCAAGTCAGGTTACGACAGCTTGATCATCTGGTGTCTGAGTATCTTATGACACCCAAAGGGTCTGTTGACCTTTGTTCATATGATTGGGTACGGTGCCTGGGAGTATTGTCGGCTTTAACAGCCCTACCGAAGGGGAGGGCAAGTCATCTCCGCCAATGAAAACCCAGGAGCCATGAAGCAGCTACCAGCGATATCACCGAGACTAAAAAAGCCGGTCTGTTGAGCATCCAAACCAAAAGGTTCTGTGTGATCTGTTGTAGACTCAGAGATATTAGTTGTAATTTTCATCTTGATATAACCATCGCATTTCTTGGACCTCATTTTAGGTGGATGAGGGTAGGATGCTTTTTAAGAAGCGTAGACACCTGAGCTGGTTAGATGCGCCAGATGATGTTTACTTCCACGCTGATGAGAACACAAGGTCAGTGTGTGAAAGTGATGAAACATGAGGCTTTTCTTCATGAAGTTTTCCTGAAACTTCTTTGTCATGTGAAGTAGATTGAATAAAGGAGGTTTTTTCCCCTGAACCACTTGCTGCCCAGGGACCCGGTTTCGGGTACGTTTTCTTTATACCTAATGCCGGGCTGCCCAAAACCAGACAAAAGAGCTGGGCCTTGTAATAAAAGACCGTACTTGGAACAAAATACCAAGCTGCTGGGAATTTCCAACTTTTTTCAGTTGTCAGTAGTGGAGGAAATCCATCATTGTTTTGAAAGATTATGCCACTGTTTGTGGTATTCAGCGCAAGCGGATTACCACTGGGGACAAAAGCGCTCTGGTGCTCCAGTGATGAGAAATACAATACCGCTGCAATACCGCTAATCTGGCCCCTATTGAAAATACGTCAGCACTGTGCTGGTTTCGGGAACAAAAGAAAATTACATAACACCGTACAATCTGGACTCTTTTAACAAGGCGGCAGGCCTGGCTGAAATACTCGGGCATCAATAGATGTTGTTTTTCAGATTAGAGTAGCCACCAGACAGTCATTTGTGTGGGTGTAAATGTCTAGTAAATGAAGATACGAATTTTTAAAGAATTTTGAAAACAGAAAAAAATTAAAAATCACCCGGCCCGGCAGAATCAACATGGATAAATGGGCCCGGCATGAAGTGGTTAAGCTGTTTTGTGGCTCTTGCTGTAGGACACAGAATCAAATGTTTCAGTAATACAGAAACTGTATTCATGGGGAAGCCATTTTTGATCATGTTCCCTGAATTTGTCATATTCAGTGTAATCTGGAATCTGGTAATCAATGTAATGGGGGGGGTGGTGCCAAACTTTTTCAGGTTCCAAACCACACTTTCATTTATTAAATGTGGCTTTAACCATTTATCACAAATTTTGAATTCAAATGTAAAACTGGCATGAATTTGTAATGCTGTTGCTGCTGTTCTTTTACTCTCGGTTTAAAAAATAAAAGTTAACCTCATTGTCAATGTGGGCAATTCACAGTAGTGCACCTTCAAGAGTTTGTAACATGTTGACCAATCCCAGTGCGCAAAATCTGTCGACCCTGTGGACTGTGATTGGTCAACGCGTTGCAAACTTTTGGAGACGCACTATTGTGAATCGATTGTATTCAAGAGGGCCAATACATAAAGTTTTTTCTCAGTTAGTAAACATAAGTCCTGGAAACACCGTCTATAGAGGCAAAAGGCACTCGAGAGTTCTATAGAAGCCATCATTTTATTGCCCTACTTGTATTTCATTTTTTAAAAACTTGCAGATAAATTTAACTAGTCTTAAGTAGTGTGAAAAGTCACGTCTTCGTGTCTGTGATCTTATGTTCAAGTTCCCTTTTTCACATTTTCTGGCCAAAGACTCGTTAATCAGTTGCCGTTTGCTGTGCTTTGTTGAAAGTCTCTCTTTTTTGATTTTCCCCTTTTGGAACACTACAGGAAGCTACGGAAGCAGCTGACCATTGTGGCACAGAAGCGCTTGGCCCGTCGTCCCTGGAAGATCATTCCTCAGACCACGCGATTGGTCAGCAAGATCCGGTCGGCAGAGACTATCGTCATTGACTGAGCTGGTTAAGAATTAAGTTTCACTTAAATTAACGTTAGAATGTAGAATTTCAGTTTCAAGTTTATGATATTTTTGTTTCAGTTTATAAAAGATGTCTGTGTGACACAACTTGGTTTAGGGACAATTTTTCAATATCACAAAAATTTTAACCTTAGCTGCAACTCAAAAGGCTTTGCATGGTAGCCATCTTGAAGGGCACTTCTTTTGTGCTATAGGGAAACCTCCTTTGCGCAAACTCTGTGGAACAAAAGCGCAGGCTGGAAGATGGCAGCCATGTAAACCCCTATAGCTGCACTGGTGATCTGATGGCATTTTTTAGCCATTGTCAAAGCATAGCATAAAGTGATGTAACTTGTCAGTATTATTCAGGTTCAATTGTCATGCAAGGCAGAAAGTGACACCTTGTTTCAATATTCACAAGCATTTTTGTAGACTTGCTGCTGTATGTTAGCTCTTCGTATTGTATTAATTCCATAGAGTCTGTCATTAATACTCACTTTGTGTGTTTCTTTTTCCCCTCGTCTCAGTAGGAAATAAGAACATCCCATGCGGCTTGATGAAAGAAGTTACATTTGTTTTCAGAATTCTACCGCACGGAACATGTCGTTTCCTATTTTGAAATGCTTTCTTGAAGGCAAGTTATACCCCAGCTCAGTTGCCGTCTTTTTTTAACATTGCATTCACTACAATAAGCCAAATGAACGGCTATCCACACACGTCCTCATTAAACAGCCCTGTGGCCCATGTAAAATATTTTGTGAATGCTTTTATCGTGCTGAAAACAAATCAACCTTTGGAGGGAGGACTTTCAATTAATGAAATAAAATTTCCTACAGTGTGCTTAGTTTAGTAGTTACATTTTTCCAATCTTCGGGGATAGTAGAGGTGTATTTACCCTACAACCTTCAAGCCCCTCCCCTTCCTTCCCATGGGTGTTTCACAGCTCAGCCAACCATGGAAATTGAGTGTTTATGCCGGGCATTCTGAGTGGGGTCATGCTATTTAGTGTCAACAAGTATCAAGTAGCATCAACAAGTATATTTAAGCAAAAAAAAAAATATGTACAATATTAACTAGATATCTACATATCATATTCACTGTGTCACATTTAGCTAAAATGATATTTGAATGTGGAAATTGAACAACAAAGTCGGTTCTGCTCGTGCAGCCAAACCAGCTGCCATCTTGTTTTCGCATGGATGGCAAAGAAAAGAAAGATGGCGGCCACCTTACATCGCAAAAAATTTTCATTTTCCTGCATGAATCTGGAATAAAATTCTGTTTTTCTTACACAGTTAATCATGTTAGAGTCTGTAAAATATGATAAAACCACTTTGAAACCTTAAGAGGATATTTTCAAGTTGTTGACGCTACTTATGTGTGTTGACACTTCTTGATGTTAAATGGCACGACCGTTCTGGGTGTACCAATTGGACACAGAATCCTTACTGATGGGATTTGCTCATGTGCATCTCTCAGATATCCTTGCTAATTTGTGAAACACGCTTAACTTTAGCGTAGAGTTTTCTGCCATAGTAAACAATGGTCCTTTCCCCGAGTGTGTTTGTCAGGATAAACACCTGCACTGCAACACGTTGGCATGGAGTTGACTCTAGGTGTAGATGTATAGTGCTGATTGCCATTTCCACATTCCCATCTGGGTGGGTTCAGAGGTGTAGATTGTAAATAACATTGATCAAGGCACTTTCTCTATTGTGTTAGTAATAAATTAGATATGCCCATAGCATAAGTGTACTTGCATGTTTGTGTCATCTTAAATATCTGGGCATGGTTTAAATTGGTCACCGGTTCAGAAGGAATTTGTATGTAATAGCAAAGTCATTTTTTGCGACATTTGTGTCGTCAAACGTTTTTGTAGTTGATCATACCACAATAATGAAAACATTAATTTGGTTGGCTGTGAAACAGACAGCTTAATAGTGGAATTGGTGTGAAGTTGGGCACCGTACTTCACAATTTAATTTTTTTTTTTCAAATGTGAACAAGGCATTTTAGTAATAGCCCTATCATAATTGAAACCAAATAAAAAACCTTTTTGGAAAAAGTATTTGGTTTTCAACAGGAGTTACTTGTTTCTGAGACAGAAGCTGTGGAGTCAAACGGACAAGTCGTTAAGGCAGATTGGATGATCCAATGGCAACATCCCATGTTGCAGCTGCATATCCCACTGCCACCCTTTAAAACACCTGCATTTAAATCTTGCTGGTGATCAAGTCATCCCTCCAAGTCCAAGACCCAACGTATAAGGAATATGTTATACAATTCCTGCAAATTCTACGGTGAAGTTTTAAAACCCTTTTACTGGTTTTGCAAGAGAGTTGCATCCATTTTTATAAACACCCAGGAACCCTTATAGCAACTATAAAAGTAAACATGTTCATATCACATAACTGCCATGTTCACTGTCCTCTTGCAATCATCCACACTTGGTTGGTTCTTTGTTTGTCCTGTCCCCTTGCCATTTTGCCTTTGAGAAAGATTCTGCTCGGACCGAAACGTCAGGCCCTCCATATTTTGAGATATTCACTGCTGCATAGCTCTTGAATCCCCTTCATGCAGCCCAGTGAAACCAACCTTTTTTGAAAATGTTTAATACTATATTTATTTGTGAGAGTGTTCAAAAACTGCAGAACGCTCGCCCTTAGTAGGCAGCAGATTTTACCTTAAAATGCAGATTTTTTTCTCACATTTAAAATTGCAGGGCTTTTTATGGAGTACTCTGATAGCTGCAAGAGTTTTTCCAGCACTTATGAATGAGACTTTTCTTTGTGCTAACGTCCAACTACACGTATAGTTTGCCAACCATGAGTAGGCAAAAACTAGGACCATAAAGAGAGGGATCTTTTTATCTTGAGTTGATCTCTCGTCACACCTCTCTCCAGAAAAGTACTGGAAAGTGACATTTCAAACAAAGGCATAGTTTCCGTTTACTTCAAAAGCAGTTATCACTGCCACCTTCAGTGGCCTTTTTATTATATGGTGATGAAAATTCTTTTACATTTCTTGATATAAATATTGCTCCACACATGAACAAATGGGTATAAGTCTCAATGATATGAATTTCTGGGTTATGTGAGAATCAGATATATGTTTGATTGTTTCCATTTATGACAGCAGAGGCTTTTGTAAGTAATAGGCTCCCACACTTCTATCATTCCATGTTACTCGAAAGAGTTAAGACCATTTGAACAACTTCAAGATGTGGCACACAAAAGTGGCAGTAGGAAGCCAGGAAGCCTGTGTCCTCCAAAACAAAATGAAGACTAACATCTTGTGAACAACATGTATCCATCACCAAGTTTATCCCTGCATTAAGTTGATGCACCCCGTGAGGTTGCTGTTTTGCACTGTTGAGAATTTTCAGAAAAATCACAGCAAAACTGTTCAGTTCAAATGAGAAGTCCCTCAGCTGAGCATGTCATAGAAGATGAACATCTTCAAGACTTTCTTCTTCCATCTGAAGATCTTGATTTTCAGTCGTTGCATGTAACTGTCCCTCTTCAGACAAGCTGGCCACAGAACGTCTAGCAAGGAAGCACTTGCGCTTGCTGGGAATCTTTATTTGGTACTTCCAAGGTTCCAGGAACCTTCTGCTGTCCTGACATCTCTCTGCATCCCTCCTTGCCAGCACCGCTGAGATTCGTCTCCGCTTGCGGCCACGGCGCAGCTCTGCCACAACATCAGAGCCAGGCTGGCAGTCTTTTTGGCCTCCCTTAGTCTCCTTTGCAAGCAGGCTGTCATCGCGGTTGACTGGATCCATGAGGGGGGCGTGTAGAAGATTTGTAGCCATTGGAAGATCTGAGAAGTGAGCAATCCCGAACCAGTGTGCTTTGTTACAACATGGAAGACAACAATGAACCCATTATGCTCAAAGTTCATAGGAAAACATCATTACCATACCTCACAAAACAGCCAAATTTTGATCGGTCCGCTCACCATCACATCAACTGATATTTTTCTGCTAACCAGAGAGCTTATGCGAGGATCCATACACAAGTCAAATATGTACATAAAGTTGACTTCCCACCAGTTCACCCAGGGACAGTCTATGTACATGTTTGCTTTACAAATCAATCATGGAGCTATGGTAACGGGTTAGTACACATATATGCACATGTGAACATCACCCTGCTTCTAATGAACAAAACAGCAGTACAAAATAATTAAATCCCCATTTTCCATCATTCATTTCTTGTGTGAGGTATGGCAAACAAATACAATAAGGTTTATACAAAGCAGATAGTTTTGGACAGTACTGAAAGTTGACGATACCGAAGGAGTGTCTATTGACTAAAACCATCAAGCGTTGTTAGATTTAGGTATTTTAACAATATCTCTGTTTCTCTTTATATTAGTGAGGACATCACATTACAATAATTATTTTCACAAATGTATGAATAACTTTGTACCATGTATAGATACCTTGCACTACAAATTTGTGGCACAGTTGTGCAATGTACTGATTGCACGAAAACTTGCTTAGTTGTCCAATCTTTTGATTACATGTATATTAAACTTCTTGGACGAGGGTGATCACGGCTTTATAATGGCTGTTCCTTTACAATATTTCAGCAGTCATCACCAGTCATAAAATTATCTCCATCTGGCATTTTGAAAAAAACATTTCCATCACTTCTTCATCAGAACTGATTAGAGAATCCCAAAGTTCTCTTACTTCCGAACAAGTTTGTTATTACCTCTATAATGTCAAGAAGTACATTTCTTGTATAGACCCTGTTAAGTTTAACAATGAGCCATAACAAAACATGATTCATTCATTACATGAACATGTAAACTGTTCATTGCCAACTTGCTTGAAGCAACTTACGATATCTAATAAAATGATTCAGTGATACCACAATTTGTTGTACAAGTCGCAGACTTACCCAATGTGTAGCTTTATTGCATGAAATGTGTCATGATATGGTGTGCATCTGATACCATAAAATGTGGCATTAGTAAAGTTACGGCACTACATAAAAAATTTCATGAAGTCAGCTTCAGATGTGCCACACAAAGATTTTTGTAGAGTGGCTTAACACATTCACTCACTTTTTTTCAAAGGAGCTTCAGCGATTGGGGTTTGTGAAAGAAAGTGCCAGTACAATATTTGACGATGCCCAGTTTCCAACCTGAAGCCAGCCTTGAGAGGGTTTGCTAAAAGTGAGGGAGCAAATGGTGTTTCATCACAGCTTGACTAAGGCAATCTTAACAAAAATACACAACCTCACTTGCTTTTTTCATGAGGGAACTTACCGAAGGAAGAAGGCACCTTATCCCTATGGGGAGCTTTCTTGTTGTACATGGCGTAGATGTTCTTGTGCTGATACAACCTCTTGAGCGCTTTCCAGGCATTGTAGAGAGCATCATCTCGACGATCATCGCCAATCTGAAGCCGGAATGTGAAGGATTGTTTCTGCTCGTCCGTGAGCATTTTTTCAAGACATGTTATGGCATCAGGCAAGGACTTGTCGACCTTGCCTTTGGCTACAAACACATTTGCAGATGCATGACTGTCACTATTGTTGCCGTTGGAATTCACCTGAAACTGCGGCAAAGGCTTCTCTGTTTTAGGACCAGTGGACAGTGGGATAACTGATGGGGCATGTTTGTTGTCTTCTGTAGCACTGTGGTGCATTGACAGCTTTTTAAAGGAAATACCACTGTTAGTACCGATTATTGGCATAGTAATGGCATCTGTGGTCAGCACATTTTTGACAGGGTCTGACTGGACTACTTTACTTGCAGTGACAACGCAGTTCTGCGGGAGGATCTGGTTGCTGCCGACAACCGAGTTTTGCCGGATGATATTCTTGGACAGTATGACCCGACCAGGTTGCAGAGTCTGATTGGCAACTTTCACCAAGATAGGAGTGGAAGACACGAGGGAAGGTTGCAACACTGGGTTGGCTACAGCGCACATGTTAGGTTCTACAAACTGGGGGGCAGGAAGTGCTGGGTTGGGCTGGGTGGTAGCAACATTAGCAGCCACGATACATGTAGACGGTCGAGCAATCTTAGCTGCAACAGGTGTCCCATTTGGTCCTGTCGGTTGACCTGGCTGAATGACATCACCAGTGACTCCACTTGAATCTTCATGAGCACTGCCGGTCAGAGGATGCAATGACCCACTTTGGGTAACTATACAGTCAGAAAGGGTGACAGTGTTACAAGACGCTGGACTTGTCTCTACTACTTCATTTGAGACAACTTGGCCAATCTGGCCTGCACCACCAGAACCATTGATTACACGTGGCAGTGAGAGTTCAGTGCCAACTTGCAGGGTGGGCAGGGTTTCATCATCACCATCATCGTCAGTGCCCATGGCACTTATCTGGGGGAGCTCTTGGGCTCCACCTTCTGAGAAATTTTGAGCAGCTTCAGATGAAACAGTCTTGTCAGTCTCTACAACTTCATTACTTCCAACCTCCAGACTGGGTAGGATGACTTCCTTTCTGTCAAGAGCTGCATTTGTCTGCTCCATCTCACTTATTAGAAATTCTGAAACTTCAGTAGCTTCCTCTGTGGTTTTCAGAAAGTTAGAAATTTCAGGCTCATCCTTTGTGACTTTTTCGGCAGCAACAACTACACCAGCATCCCCAATTTCCACTTTATCACCCCCTCTTGTCTCCCAATTGATGTCTTCATTGACCAGATTTGGGTTTGTCAAGCTATCAACGTGGTTACTGCTATCCAGCCTCTTTTGTTGGGTTCCAGGAGACTGGTTTACATCAGCAACACATCCAGGCTGATTGGAGACAGCTGGCTCAGGAATGTTGGCTACTGGAATAGCCTCAGAACATGGAGTAACTTGACTGGCAGGAAGGGTGCCCTGCTTAACCACAACGACTTGCTTGGGGGCAACCATTTGGCCTGACAGAATGTAATAAATTTGGTTTGTAGTTGAGGGTTTTAGCATCAGTTCACGTTGGATGTCGTGGGTAGATGATGGTTTGGGGACAACGTTGGAAGGAACCAAGGTGCTCTGGGCTGAGACTAAAGGAGTAGTATTGTTTTGACCAGAAATCTGGGCAACTGATTGAGTGGGTAGCGTCTTCAGAATAATTCCAGAAGGGGTTGAGGCACTCTGGTTAGGGGGAAGTAATTGCACAATAGTGGTCTGGTCAGAATTCTGAATGGTTGATTTAGTGGAGAGTGGTTTTAGAATGACATTGGATGACACCTTTTTCCTTTGGGGTGAAGGAGTTAACGGCTTGATACCTAATATCTCAGAGCCTTGCTTCTTTGTTTGCATCACAAACTGATTCACGATAACTTTTGAAGGGACTGGATTATAGTCAGGTGAAGCAGCTGGGTTACTTTGGGATGAAACAAGTTCTTTGCTTTGGGAGGCATCACAAGATCCGATTGCCTTAAACTCTGGGTGCCGTTTGCGGAATGTGTCCCACCAGAAGTCGTCTGGCCTGTTGTTTGTGAATGAATGCAATCTCCTGATTCCTCGTGTCTCCTCTTCATCCAACAGCTGCTTGATCTTTGACATCACTGTGCTTTTTATGTCAGCTGACTGGCCCAGCACTGTCATTCGGATGCACATTTTGACGAGATCATTCTCTTCCTCTGTGGTCAGGGCCTGTACTGACTGGAGCTTGTTCTTGAGCATCGCGGGGGGTACGTTGTAGGTCTTGCTGGCCTTGTTGATTGTAAACTGGTCCAGCACGACAGCAATGCAGGCCTGCTGTAGGTTCTCCTCAAAAGAGGTGCTGGATGATGAGTGGCTGTCTATCCGCCGACCATCGGGCATGCACTGGCTGTTCTTCACGGCCTTGACTCTTTCCTTCAGAATGCCGGGGATGACGTTAAAGGCAGCAGCTGCCTTCTCCACAGAGTACTTCTTGTCCATGACACTGTGACAGGCCTTGGTCAGATTGCGCTTCAGTTGGTCATTGACACAATCGCTGAGAACGTAGCGACCAATGCCAAACATCTGAGCGGCAACGCTCACACTCGTTCCTTTGCAAATGACAGCGTCGCAGGCTTGCTTCAGATTGCTGGCAAGCTGCACCTCAGCTTGGTTCAAAGACCTTTCTATGATGGGATCAGCTGCTGTATAAAAATAGAGAGTTGATGTCACTCTCCTTAGACATTATTAACCAATACATGTGCCATGATTGACAAGAAGCATACCCTTGCTAAAGTGGATACCACAGGTGATCTCAGTTCACAAGAAAGCTGCACAGTGAGCAAACACCACACGCATTTAGCAGATTCTCCACCTGTTGGCGTTTCAGTATTATTTGTCCCATCCCCCATAACATCTAACGACTATTTTCAAACTGTTCTAAGTTAGAGCCAAGTCAGTGACCAATGTGGTAAGGAGAGGGTTCAGACTTTCACAGTCATCAGATTATATTCAAGCAAACAAAAACATACCGAGGGTCACTATTTCACGTAAATAATTCTGAAAAGTAATTTGGTTGACTGAGCTGACATGGAACAGGAAATATGGTTTCAGAAAAACAGTATTGAGATACTCAAACCCTCTTTTTGAATTCCAAGTAGAATGAGTGAACGCACAGCTAGCAGTGCGTAACAGGACCTATGCACACACACAAATATAATGCCCCTTTCTCAATTCTGGTATTAAATACTCTGGCGAATTCAATCCTTTTCACAAAGTAGTCAAACATTGCTATCTGCTTCTTAAATTTCTTTTATTTTTCCCCAGAATTTTTGTTGGTTGGACACTTTTCACGAGCAGGAAAAAAATGGACTGATGTAAAAAATTGTTGTGCAATTGAATTTGTAACAATCCGGTAAAATGTTTGCATGGTTTAGGTTCCAGTTCCTGCTTTTAATCGGCAAAAGGGCGGTTGGGTATCGGCAGACATCACATCCTCAAAACTACCAGAAACTCAGGCCCCCAATTGACACCATTGACAAGGGGAAAAACATCATTCCTCTGCAGGAGAAGCTTGTTCATTATTACTGAATAACTCCCCACACCATCATCCCCAAAGGACAGCTAACTCCTTTATAATAGAACATATCACTAATAGACTATTTACCCTTTCCAGAGTCGTTTTCCTTGTCCGAGTTGGTTGTTGGCCATACAAACTGGCCGGATGGAGCCTCAGGTTCTTCTTCAGCTACAAAACAAAATGAAGGAAATTTTCTTACCGACATTCTCAGACAATTACATGTACACCCTTTACAATAAAATATCTTCCTGGCCTGGTCATAAAAAACAAAAGGAATCTCAAAAAACCTCAAATGAATTGCACTAATCTTTAGTCTGAAAACATTAAACCTCAAGGCATGGCACAATGGCATCTCCACACTGGACCAAACTCAAACAATCCAACCAAGAATCAAGCATGGGTTACACGAAAAGTTACAAACACTCCATCAGGAATCAACCCAACGATTGTTTAAGTTGTAGCTACACAGGCCAACTTTTGGATAAACACCAAACCAAAAACTTGTATCATTTTGAAAATATTACAGTTTTATCTTTTAAGCAAATCTGTTAAGAGTTGAAGTTTCTTTATTAATATCTTCTGGTGAGTCCTGAGCTGTTATCCAGTTTAAACAACTCACCATCTTGTTTATTTTGGCAATCCCAACACAGCCATTTTCCCTTTGGTATCTTCTTGGGATCGATGCCCGCACACCCGAAGTGCAACCATTCGTAAGGGCATCCAAGCCCGTCGCACCCAATCATGTTCTTTGTGTTGGGACCCCCACACTTGCAGAACACTCTTTCTGGCTCCGATCCCGACTGGTCGCTGGCTTCGCTGGGGGACTCGTAAGAGTTCTCCTCAGATTCAGAGGACTCCTCCTCCAGCACTTTGCGCGGGTGTCTGCCCTTGCGCGTCATCTTGACGGTCCAGCTGTTGCTTTGCCTGGTCAGACTGCCAAGTCTCCTAGGCAACTGACTAGCCCAGCATTATTAAAATGACTGGGGTGGTCTCTGCAGAAGCTGAAGAACTGTATAAGTGAAGCATGGAAAAAAATTTATGAAGCAAGCCTAAATGCTCCGATATTGCAACCATACACATATCCAGTGTACGCACACAGAAGCCACCATCAACCTCAAAGCACCTATCCATGAAAAGTTGCACCGACAATACTTTGCAGTGATATCACACCATAGTCGGACAATTTCCTGTATTTTCCATCTTCATGCTACAAATTATCCTGCCCATGTCAAACTGTCTCACACCAACATCTTCAGCAAAGTATAAAGCAACTGCCGTTTCTGATCCTTAATGGGTGAGAGGTGAAACTATCACATTCAGTTGGGTTTTTCAGGAGCATGTATACCAATGTGTTGTTTTGGATTGTTCATAAGGAACCGACACGGCAGTGTAAAAAAGTCGATTCTACAACATGCTAAATTTTATTCAGGGATGCCAAACATCGTTAATAGGAAGGTCTTTGTGTTTTTCTTTTGGAAACTGGACTTAACAAAAACGGACCTGATCAAAGACAAGTGTTTGGGGAAGCAGTAAATGTTATTAACTACACAAACTGCAGATACCTGTAAATAACTACACGTACATGTAAATAAAATCAATGTCATTTCCTTTATTTTGCCATTGAAATTCATGACTCAGCCTCAATACTTCTATATATACCTTTTATTTTGGCATGCAACCAATTAAAATAATTTTCCTGTCTCTTTTGTTCTTGCATGCTCATATAACTTCTACTGTTTTCCCCCTTGCACATGCATGCTTCATTCAATGACTAGAAGACTGTATCAGTCCTTCTTATTTTTCAGTTGTAGTAGTCTTGGCTCAAGATGTTACTAGATTTTTGTTGCCCGTGTGTATATATCCACACTGCAGCACTTGAACATATTTGATGAAGAGAGGGTGTAATGTACAGGAAGATGATGGAAGAAATCAACATTCACACAACATAATTCATTACACAATCAAATGCACAGTGGAAAGAATAAAAATAAACCCCAACCTTCCTCACCACACAGAATTCAACGCCAGTGAAGTGTGTGAGTTTGTGGCATTGGGTACTGGTAGCTTACTATCTGGTGTTTCATTTTGTGTGGATGGGTACTGTGGGCCTGCACATACCCTGTTGAATTTGGACTGAATGGGTAATGTGGCCCTCTCACTTTATCCCAGCAGCTGGGGATGGATATGCAGCATGATGGCGTGTAAGTTTGTTTGAATAGGTACTGCCTGTCCACACTCTTTGAACTGTACAGTGGGCCTGCTGTACCCAATCAAACAGAATCACACAGGTAAAGACCTGTTGAAGTTTGTGGGATTCAGTACTCCTGCAAGAGGAATACTGTTGAAGTCTGTGGGATTGGGTACTGAGAGGTGTTGAAGTTTGTGTGATGGGGGAAGGTTAGGTCCAGCAACCCTTGGGCGATTAAGGTTAATGTTGGAGATGTGTACAGATTAAAACATAGGGGGAAGGGAAAGAAACAGCACAAAGATACTGGAACCAAGACTATGTTTGAAGATGATTTTTAGATTGGTATCAAGGCTGAGGCTATCAATGCAAAGCCACTCTAAGACACTGGACATTTTGGTACTTCTACGAGACGGAGTCATTTGGGTTAAAAAGCACCTGACATAATGCCAGCTCGGTCAAAACATGTTCGCTCCAAGTCCACTGGCACCCCGCTGAAGTGAAAGGGCTGATTATATTAACTTCTGACATGCTTCTAAATACTTGTTACTAAAAAGAGAAATGGATCCCTTTGTGTCAATGCTTACTTGAATATAGTCAAATTTCATGTTTTAGAAAGCATAGTGAGACCACTTAAGAGTCATAAATTATGTATTTGAATACACGGAAAAATTCAACAGGTAAACAACATTTCCATTTTTCCTAAATGGTTCTCAAAAGAATACTTCAGCTTATTTTTACCTTCAACTCAACCAATTTTATAACTGAAAATATTTGACACTACATGTACTTCAAAATGTATTACATTCTTTCCTGAGAATCTGTGTGTTAATTGTAACAAAATCATTAAGTATACGGTACAGATGCTGGCCAATTATTAAAAATCATGATTTCTTAATGTCTGAGTCCACATAAAATTTTAACAGCTCATTTTGACAACAGACATGTATTCTTTGAACAGTTGATGTAATGAATCCCTCCCAAATTGAATTTACACTGTGCAACTTGGCCCATTTTGTTTGTAAGTGCCTTCAAGGTAGTGAGATCACTGCAAGGCTGACACACATCAGTATTTGCACATAAGTTATTTTGGGGTACATTATCTCGAAAGCTAACCAGCTAAGGTTGAGAACATGGAACGCAAGATCATGGTGCTAAAAAGGAACCTACGGTAGAACTTTCAAATTAATGTGTGAAACAGTTACATGTATCAGCTGTGAACCAGCCACAAGCCATATGCACTGCGTAAGCTTTTAATCGGTAAACTGTTTTTGCAAAAGGCACATTTTCTTTCCACTAAACAACTCGACAAACTTGATCTTAATATTCACACAGATAATACATGATGCGCTCAGAAGATCATGCGCTTTAAGAACCTCTAACCATGTAGCCAAGAAATTCACTGGTAGCCCTCGAATCGCTGCGTGATATAGCTCTTCCTCCGGTTTCGCTTCTTAACTTCAAGCTTCCAAGATTTGAGGACCTGCCTCTTACTGCCCAGCCTGAACCTCCAAGGCTCCAGGTAGTGACGTCCTTGCTTGGCCTTCATCGACTCAATCCGCAGCAGTGCTCGTTTCTTGCGCTTTTTACCCAGATTCCCCAACAGCAGGGACACCGATGTCCTACTAGATTCGTCCGATATGTAGAAGGGTCCATTGGGACATGGCGACCAAGGTGGGATGTCACCCTTTGTGGGTGGTACACACAACTTGTTAGGATCATCTGAAAATTTAAAATAGGACATAAAAATGTCAAAAATCTATGTTTGTCATTACATGTATTTCTCTAAACTGAATTTTATTTTGTTGATTGGGAGAGAATTATAGAAACGTCTTTCAGCACAGCTGTTGGGTTACAGGTGTCAGAGGTACCTCAATTCCCCACCCCCCCCAGGTTTAGCATAAATCCCACAGAACCACGGTTGCATTTCACATTTTTATAAAGTAGGGATGAAATGAAATCAGCAGCATACTTGCAAACAGACACTTCAAGTAACTGAACCTTCTAGGTATTTGTGTAAACCTTTCTTGAAACTATTTTTGGAAATTTCTCTTCCTTTCCTTCCTGAAATAAATTTAGGAACATACATCAAAATTTGGAAGAAGCTCGGCAAATAAAGCATAGAAAAATCAAAATATTTCAAGAAGTAATTCGCAAGTGAAGAGCGTATATGGAAGGGGGACAATTTCCAGATCTACAAGATGTACACTCTCCAAGAAAGAAACACACGTACAGTCAAACACGCTTCATGCGAACTCGAAGGGACTCTCCAAAAGACCTTGTCTTACTGTAAACCTCGTGCTTATACGTGTTGACACTTATCCCATTCATAGAGTGCAAGCCTGGCGTCATGCACCAGCAAGCATTGTTACACACTACGGCAATGTACTGCAGGCCTACATGTACCGTACGGTACAGTATATGCAGGGGATTAGTATTCGATGTACAGCCTTTAACTTGTTAACCCCTTCGCTCCTGGAGATCCCATAAACCGCGGCTTTGTGTGAGGATTAGTGCATACCACACATACAGTCTATTCACCATACAACTGCTGGTTCAATGGGGCCTGCTGCAGGACAAAGCCCTCCAATCAGGACATACCACAGCCCATCAGTCGCGGTCAAAAGAATAACCGGCGCGAAGGGGTTAATAAATTTCAAATCATATTAATAAATATGATTCGAATGAATAAAACTATGATTTCGAATACGCCTACTTGTTTGACGCAACAGCAGAGAACAGAGGTTGTAAGTGGCCGGCCGAACCGCACCACGCATGAGCGTGGCCCAGCAAAGCACTACTTGGAAACTGGTACCCGATGTTGCACGTAACTAAAGGTTCAACTTGAGAACCAGTTTATATAAGGACCGGACGTAAGAGGGAGTTGAAATTGAGGAATTTTCGTTGGTTTGTAATTGGCAGGAGGGGCTCTATTTTCAAGTCAGGTTCACACATTGTTCATGTTCGGCTTAAAAAAAGCCTCTTTTGGACAAGACCCGCTGTGATCAAAACTCCTTTGATGCCGCAACATCACAACACCTATTGTCGTCTAGAATAAAGCCCCCTCTAGTGGCACAAGGAACAGAGTCGCCAAGTCATTGGTGGCAAAACCGCAGCGCAAATTGCCGAGCGGATTAGCGTTTTTGGAGAACTACTGATGCAATCCATCAGGAATTATTTACTGTGATTACTAGGATTAAGCTTTTGAAGACGAATTTTCAATTGTACTCGTATTAAAAATGCCATGGACAACGGTTTTTGACACTGCCCGTTAGGCAAAAGTGCTCATCTTGTCCGTGTTCTCGTCTTAACACAGCTCGTAATAAGTAAGTTTTCTCTCATAGGAATGTGTACATTTTGAATGGGACTGAAGAAATATGCTCGTTTTAAGCGCGATCTCATGTTAATCGTGTTTGATTGTACATACATGGACATGAACAGGGAACTAAGAGCCTTCCTACTCGCAAGATGCGGAAGTTTACTGACAAAAAAAGGCTCTGACTACTAACAAGCGATACCAATCTCAGAACAACTCCCACGATTTATCCTGTTAATTAACTTACCCTGTTCCTTCTCAGAATCATCACAGAGACATTTGAGAGCCCTCCAGGCAGAGTACACTACATCACTGTCACTCTTGTCACCATTCTTGAACCGTTTCTCAAACAAGTGTCTCTGCTTCTTCACAATGATAGCTTCCAGACACTCCAGGGGAGTGGGCTCTGGCCCCCGTGACATTCCTCCATGAGCTGCCTGGGGTTTCTTGAGGCCAGGATCTGAGACTAAGTTCTTCTTCAGTTTGTACTTCTTGTGTTTTAGGTTAACCTCCTGGGCTGTGTTTTTCAATCTTTTAGTAGATTCCTGTGGTGTTGAGCGGCACAGTTTTGAGATGGTCTCCTGGACCGACAAACCCTCCTTGGTCTTACCCTGTTCCAGAGAGGGTTTATCCACGGCAGACTCATGCTGTTTCCTCAGCTCTTCCATCTTGGGGTGGCGCTTACAGAAGGCCTCCCACCAGTCGTTCTCCGGCAGGTTGTTAGTGAAGGGATTCAACCGCTTGATGCCCATCTTCTCCTCCACGTCCAAGAGGACCTTTACGCTGTGGACGACGCTGTCCTTCACCATCATCCAGTGACCCTGCTTGCACATGTTGACTGCCATCTCCACCAGCCTCTTCTCCTCCTGAGAGGTTAGGATGGGCTTAGAGTTCAGTTGCTCCGAGATGGCTTCTATGGAGAAGCCATAGGCCAGGGAGGCAGAGGGGACAGTTATCTTCTTGGCCATGATCTCCTGGCACACTTGCTTAAGCTTGGCTTTCCAGTTCTCATCTACCCCTGCAATTGAAATGCATGGCATAAAAGCTGTTAATGAGACAGAGGTTTCCTTAGAGTATCTGTCACAACAGGGTTTGATAACTCAAGTATAAATTACACTTGAAAGACTTAATCTTTATAAGACCAACCTTAACACAGCTGATAAATTCTTAGGAAATGTTGGACCAAAAATAGACTTAGTTTCGACAGCCTGTTGCTTTCAAACAGTTTCCCCTATCTTTGTTGATGACTTTTTAGCTATTTTCCAGACACACAACGCAATACTTATTAAGTAAACAAATTCTGAATTACTTGCCATTTTTCACAATCCGACAGGAATCACAGAACCATTTTCCCCGTGGCACCTTCTTTGGGTTGATCCCGACACACTTGAAGTGAAACCACTCGTACTTGCAATTCTTCCCATCGCATCCGATCATGTCGTCAGAGTTGGGGGCGCCGCACCTGCAGTACACCCGCTCATCCGAGTCTGACTCAGACTCTTCCTCCAATTCCGAGTCCTCTGACCCTGATTCATCCGACGTCTCCTGCCCCTCGCTGTATTTTGTACAGTTCTTCCTGGGTGAAGTTCGTGTCTGCCTCGGCAACCTGGCTGCTGTTCCTTGGGAGGCTGCCCTGCTTCCCGACTCTTGAGCTGTTGAGGGAGGTGAGTGTGTTGCCGAAACTTCCTCCTTGAGGTTCTGTCTGTGGTGAGGGGTTCCCTCATTTGCATCCTCCATGTTGTTTTCAGGTGAAGGCATTGTCTTCCAGTTTCTACCGAGTTGATTCTCATCCCAAGGTGCAGGTAAGGTCTCTTCCAACTTCCATTCAAACCTGAATCAAACTTGAAGTTGAATTAACAACAGTTGCAGTGGAGTAATTCAGCTTCCACAGATGTTTCCTTTCTTCACATTTTGCCAAATCCATCAACTGCTGTTGGTGATCAGTTACAAGCAAAAAAGATCTTCACAGACAAACATATCTTGAAAGACTTCCTTAATGCTGGTTACAGCACGAAAGATGGCACTGAGAGCTGGTTCCTTCATACCATTTCAAGCAAATGTCCCATTTCTGAGGATTAACCAAAAAAATGGGGTAAGTCTTCCTTGAAAATGATTCAGTAACAGTCTTCATAGGACCATGGTCAATTATCTGACAGGATGCAATACACTGGGGTATCAAGTCTCGTGAAAATGAAAGCAGAAATACTTTTGACTTCAAAAGTGTCCATTGCATTTTTGCCAAGAACAGTCTTCCACTACACAGGACAAAGATTTCTGAAATTGTCAACTTCACAGGACATACAAGATTCATTCTTTGTATTTTTAAATTTTCAAGCAGACTATGTAGGCTGCACCCTCCCTCAATCCTATAAAGTCCTTTAAAAACTGCATGTGCATTTCGAAAGATCTGGACAGGTGAGGGCTAGTTCATCCAAATATCGCAAAATGTGAATGCCTTAGTTGTTAAGATTTTACACAAAATAAATACTGTAAGACAAATGTTTTACTCGTTGACTGCTGAGGGTGCACTCACCTCTGACAATGTCGCCCTCTTGCAATTTGAGTGAAGCGGCCCTGTTCGAAGATGACAACTGCTGTTGCATGTATAGAATGATACAAGCATGTACACAGTGTATTCAAGTTGTACGCACTGCAACATGGTTGAGCACAAGTGAGAGGTGGCTACTTACAGTTGACACCAATCTCAGATTCGGTTTTTGTTGGTTTTGGGTTTGGTTTTTTTTTTATCCACCCTTACTCAATGCAAGAAGGTGACACGGCATATACACTAACATCTTCATGAAAACTTCTTGAGCATTTCCTCTATAAACCACTCTCACTTTGGCAACCGTTCCTATGGACGGCCAAAGTTTGTAGACATATCATTTTTTACCAGATTTTTTTGGGGGAAGGAGTTCTTATACTAACACCCTGTGCACAAATCCTATGAGAGTGGTCTGAAAAAAAGTCTAAGTAAATGACTTGGTACTATTTTCCCATCTAAATTAAACATTCCTGGACATGTTTTTGCTTTCTGATGGTAATAGGTCACTATAGGGAATAATTACTGAGGCCCACATATGGAACTTTTTCCTTTTTTTAAATCAGATTCTACGTCATAATTCACATTTGCCCCATACTTTTTAAAGGTCTGTCTTTTCATTCAGTTTTTAGTAACGATGTTTGTTAATTGGTATTTTGATAGCTTTGGGTTTTTTTGGAAAGAGTTCCATATACGGACAACAAAGAGTTCCATATAAGGACAACACAAATTTTCCCTTAAAATATTACAACAGCCGTCCGGAAGTGGTAACATGTCCCAAAAAGTGAAATTTAGCAAACAAAAATCTAGAGCATTTTTCAAACCTTTAGGTTTGCGCGCAGGGGCATCAAGTGTTGTCCGTATATGGAACTCTTTTTTACATTTGGTGAATTCTTCTTTTACTTTTGCACTGTTTCCATTTTAGTCATCTAACGAAAAAAGTTATTCAACCAAAGGTATGTCATTCTATAAGCACACATTGCTGATATAAACAAATTATCGGCACATTTGGCAAAAATATATTATTTTCTAGTTAGGCCAATCCAAGTGCAGCACTTCAGCTGGGACGTACCAACTATTGGATAGTTGGGAGAAAGAATTCCATATAGGGATGCCGCCATTTATATCATTGCCGTGACCTATTTGTCACCTGAGAGCAGTAATAAGTCCTAAAAAGTTAAATTTAACGATGACAATATTGAGGTATCCCACTTGGAATATTTCACACCAGTCTTATAGAGTTTGTTCACAGGGTGTTCAGCAACGTCATGAATGTCAATGTATGGAATTCTTTCCTCCTTGGGACAGATGTTATAAATGGCAGGTTAGGACATAGGCCTAACAACTAACGGATATAACGTTACACGCATTAGCCTATACATTTTTCAGTACAGAATGTACACAAGAGGGACATACAACTAGCGTCAACAAAGCGTTAACACAAAATACCCTCTAAACTTAATATTTAAAAGCAGTTTTATCATAATTTAGAACCTCTAAGACCTGCCACTGTGTAAGAGAAACATCGAATTTGCTTGCCGATTAACGCAGAAAAACAAAACTTTCTCACGATGTACTAAGGCTGCTATCTTTCTTCACTCAACCGTCCACGCGAAAACAAGAAGGCAGCTGGTCGGGCCACAGGGCAGGCCCGAATTTGTTGCTCAAATTTCCACACTCAAATATCATTTTCAATAACATGATACACTGAATATGGTATGTAGGAGCCTTATTAATATTGTAAATATAAAATATTTGCATAAAAGGGCTTAAAATTTTGTTGACGCTCGACTTGTGTTGACGCTAAATAGCATGACCCACACAAGCATGACGGACTTCTCAAAAATTACAGAAATCAACAAACCTGTGGTAACCCACTAACGTCTCTTTAAATTTCAACTGCACTGTCTCGCAATACTGGTGTCCTATGCTTAAAACACTGTTACGTTATTCCAAAAGTCGCAGTGAATAAATTTGACATTTAACTGTGGAAATATTACCCCCAAAAGATGATTTAGTTCCACTCAAAAAGAGATTTTCATAATGTTCAACATGGCGGCCGCTGGTCCCTGCATACCCTGGAAAAAATGCAGACTACTCTGACTTCCTCCATCGCGCAGTACTGCCACTAGTACATACTACGTCATAACTCCGCGCGGGTACCAATATGCAAATTTTTCTCTTCCCACCTTCATTTTATGGCCAAATGCCGCCGGTCGGACAGGCCACTCACTGCACTAGCAAACTAACGAGTCACTAAAGTGTTGCCATCTTAACGAGCTTAAAAAGGCAAAATGTAACTAAAGCTCTGTGGTCTTGTGGAACACACTTTTAATGTGAACTTACGGTCTTCTGAAGAATGTTCAATGTCAACTTTACTGCCACTTTGCCAAGACTGTACTGGGGCAAGCGGGAGACCCGCGAACTCGTTGAACATGTTTTCTTGATGATCTACAATCGTCGGGTGCCTTTAATTTCGGGTTATCTTATATCACAGGGAAGGTCTGGATAGCGATTCTAAACCCCCTTAGATCCATCACGTGGGGGCGCTACACATAGAGGCGGTATTTTTGTAAAATAATGTTGAGGCTGGTTATCAACTAATTTACTTGAATCATGGAGGTAGAATACTCCGCTTTTTCTTGAGGTAATAAATCACTTCGCTTTCCTTAATTTGTACGCAGAGCATAAATCCTTACTTTTAGATTCCTCAGAAAGAGCATCAACAAGTTTAAAATGCATGCACTGCGTGACGTTAAAATTTTAAAATGTGATAGGCCTAGTAGTAGTACTAGTACTATAGTAGTACTAGCACTACAGACTAGGCCTAGTAGAAGTAGTACTGTGTACCAAGTACCATTTTAGTATTTATGCATGACTGAGCATGGAGTTGCAAATTGATGACAACTGGCGTAGCTTAGGCACTTTTACAGTTTTATTGGAAAGAGTTCCATATCCACAAACCTGTACACTTTGTGAAACTGTTTCTTTACAGTAATTATGTGAAAAATAAACTGAACTGAACTTGATTCCCCTCATGGAGGTAGGATTCCCCTGTATTCAGGTAGTGTGTCAGTGTCACCCTCTGTGCAAACCTGTGGGACTTGTCTGAAAAAACTAGAAAACCTGTCTCCTAAGTACATGCTTTGGAATTTGTTTAGCTAAATTTCACTTTTTAGGACATTATATCACTTTTTATTAATAATAATGTTATATTTCAGGAAGAATGAACACTGTGCATGAACCCAATTGAATATACAGTTGAGCCTCGTTAAGAGGTTCTTTGGACTTTGCAGATTACATTTTGTAACAGGAACCTTGTATTATCACTATCAGGCACAAAAACAAAGAATTTGGACCTAAAAATATCCTCGTTATAAGCAGAATGTATTAGGAGTGCTCTCATCAATGGAGTTCAGCTGTGATTCTATACATGTATTGAAATCACAGTTGATGAGGTATCAGAGTGTCAGGTTGTTTGAAAGCAATTTGATATGCGATATTCTGAATGATATTGCAGTGTACTTCTTTGTTTTTACACAGATTAGGAGTTCAACAAGGGACGGTACCAAAACTTACACAACCTACTTGATGTGATTTCTTTTGTCCTTGAGATGAGTAAGAGGCGACGAGAAAAACATGACATCAACCTCACCAGGCCAGACCCAGGATCAGCCAAAAAGATGAAAATCTCATCACGGTAAAACTCAGATGGAAGCCTGTCTCTTTTGACCATTTGGTTTCTGGACATATGTGTAATAAAGTGAACTTCTCCTCTCCAAGTGCTGTGGGTGGGACAAGTATCTCAGAGCGTAAATTGGTAAACTGCAACAGCTACTCCGTGTCAGCCTGGATTGCAGGCACAAAATTATTGAATTCTCTTTTATTTATTGACTAATTAGAGGAGACACCTTTGACTGCAGTGGCACCACGCTCACACTCACATTCTTGAGCTTGGAGCGTGTGTGCATTTGGTAATTGAAGACACCCTATTGGTTGGAGTGGCATGCAACATTGGCGTACCACCCGTACACAAACATTGTGCCACCACAGTAACGGCTTCTAATTCTGGTTACCAAAATAGGCACATCCACAGGATATATAATTGATTTTTCTTAGACACAATTTTTCTGCAAGTTTGTACTAATCTTTAATGGATGCAACCTCTTTTACATTCCAATTTGGTTATATGCATTGAAAAGTGTGCTTTTTTTAATTAAACACTTAAAATTATTCAAGCTTTCCTCGACAACTGAGGGCACTGTTGTTGTGATGTCATCCAGGGAAGACATAATTCCAGGGCATAGGTTTTTCTATTTAAATTGTGAATCCAGAATTTACTTACTGAAAACATTTCTGAGAGAGGGATTGATGCTTGCTTATTGCTATTCATATTGTCATCAACACTACGGAGCAGTACTCATTCATAGATGTGTGCGCCGCTTCAGCACGTCTTTTACAGAAAGATGTTATTTTTATTTTCACAAAGTAGCGCTTGGTGCCGTGTGGCACGTGCTCCATGGATTGTCATTTTCAGGAATTGACTTTTTCCTTAATTTAACAGTTAAAACAAGTTTTAAGAGCATCTTCTAGTTAAGTCACATTTACGGGTGAATCAAATCATCTTAGACCTTTCAAAGTGTTTTTATCCATGCCATATTGACAAAACACACGAGTGCTACTTGTGAAACATGGTTTTCACAAAGCATGGTAGCACGCAAGTGAAGTTGAGTGCTACTTCGTGGTGTTGGTGATGATATAAACAACAATGAATCAACAGAGAAGAGAACATTTGTACACACCAATGTAACATCAGGATTTCTTCCTGAGGATTGAATCACAGGTTTGCTTGTACTCATTAGTGTAAAAACTGAAATGGCAGTAAAGTAACCTCTGAAAAAATGAAACAGAAGTTGAAAATAAGGTCAACCTTTTGAAGGTTTGTATTAAAACAAAGTGTGGCCACCAGGAGGATTTCCAGAGATTTTCTGAGGATAGCAAAATGGGGTGCCCAGCCGCTGTTATTTTACTGGAGACTTGGTACCCTGTAGAAGTTTAGAAAGCCCAGACAGTGTACCATTGGATTCCTGCAAAGTGGTAGGGTTTGGCTGCCAGAAACGAATTCCAAGTGAGTTAGGGTTAAGGGCTGTAGGCAGTTGTGGGTATTTACATTGACCCCCTAGATTGTTGTGAAATCAGTGACTAATCACGACAGGCTGCTACATTCTGCAGTGGGCAAAGCTGTACTTTGTGAAAGCAGACCCTGTTGCACTGTACCTATTAATAATTATTAATGCATTATGTAGGAATTTCAGTTTGCTTTCCATTCATTCAGCAGCTTAAGAAGGCGCAAAGCAGAACCCCAGACAGACAGCAACATCATATCCACTGCTTACGTCAGCCCAGACTGTAGGTCCAAGATCTACTCAGGTAAGAAATGCATGAAGTACTGTGCTGGGTATTCTGAGATTGTTGGCTTTATTGATAAATTCAAGGAAATGAATGGGGATCCAGTGACTGTCCGACAATGCTAGTCTGCCAGTGTATCTTTCAGTTAAGAATTAAAAAAATGGGGTAAGCTTTGGAAAATATAATTATACCTCGACATGTAAATTTTTCAATTTTCCATTTAAATGAGGTTTAAAAAGATTTGCAAGTGTCATAACAAAGTTGACATTTGTACACAATAGAAAAGGGGTTTTCATAGTGCATTTGTTCACCACTGCAGGGCGACGGATGCTAAACAATTCCCATAGTGAATCTGACACTGAAATAATCTGGGACGGCAACTCGCCCACAGCCCATTTACAGCGGAGAATCGGTAAGAAAAAGCGAGATTTGAGATACATGAAGATGATCGTAAGACTGACAAAGGAAGAGAGGAAAGAAAGATCGATCTCGGTTCTTGGTGAAGACATTGGTGGTTACAATGAGTACAATGGTGATTATGGTGAAAGGGGAATGGGGTAGAGGTGGTGGTCTGCTGACTGCCTTCATCTTGGCTGTCAATCCTTACATCCAATTTTCTTCACCACATCAAAGCACAGCCAGGTTTAATTTCAGTGTAATTGCACACTGGTGTATCAGACACATTGACAGGAAGCCAATGTTGCAGTCGAGCCCATCGCAAATCCCTTCACAAGGCCAGTCATAAGTAAGAGGGCGAGGAATGTTTTTGTCACAGTACATTTGAATAGGCCGTGACTTGGCTTAACACTGAGTGATTCATGCTGGACTTGCAGGGGCTTGTAGTGGACTAGACTACAATAACAAATGATGTCATGATCACAGCACACAGCCATCAGTTAAATCTCAGGAGCTGGGAGACCACTGCCTCATTCATGAGGTCGGGGCCTCTAATAAATGAACATGTTCCCATAAATTGCAGTGATGAAAGGTATAAAATGATAGTGACATCCGGAATACATTTTCTTAGTTCCTTTGATCCTTTGCAGGTCGCCATGGGCGCAATAAGGCAGGGGATATATCCGAGATGGTCCAGTGTGTCAACAGTCCCACAGGGAACACTGTAAGTTTGTCATGAAGAGTCTTATCTGTGCAAGGCTATTTCTGACCCGACCCATTAGTAAACTCGGCGCTTAGACTGTACCTCGTCGTGATCATGGCAAAGTCATGTGGGCTATTTTGCCATGATGGGTGATCTCTGGTAGTTTGTTGAGAAGGGAGCTAAACTTGTAGGGTATATGTGTTTGAATGAGATAGGTTGTAACTCACCGGGAGGGAAAACAGCATCCATTCTGAACTATGTTATCTTTGCCAGAGAATCTTATGTTCAAATTTGCACCAACTCATGTATCATTTCAAATTTGTATAAGCTAGAAAGGTGGTCAGACGGAATGAAAATAAAATTTCTAACCCCTTGACGATTGGAATTTCTTTCTGAAAGCCGAATCCAAGACTTCCAGACTCGCTTGGCCACGAAGGCCACCTGCCAAACCGCAAATTCTCAGTTTGTGGCCGTGCGTGCTCTGCACGCTTTGAATTCACAGTGAAAAGGCTGATTGTTTGGTGGTATGCAGCTCTACTCACGCTTCCACATTCCCGTTGCCTCTTTTCAAAGTGGGGACTATTGTGAAGCCGGTGATTATGATGCAAATTCGGTCTTTTCATTTCTGGGCTACACATAAAGACTAATCACCATATATACGAGAGCCAGGGTCTGCCTTCTTTCACCGTGGTCGCTCAAGCGTGGGCTGAGAATAATAGCTGAAAAGTGGGCTGAGGATCTCAATTTTTACGGCGGCTCTAGCCGCATCCCGGCACGAAGGGGTTAAGTGAACGTTACCTGTTTTATTACAACTAAATTATCCTCGATCAAAGTTTGAAATTACTGGACATGCTTTTAGCATAAGCCTAGCAATTGTCAGTCATACATATTCTTACATATGCTGCATACTGTTGTTTTCTTTAATTTTAGATCACACAAAATACTTCATTGTGTAATTCAGGATAGGTACATTTATAATCCAACAAATACAATAAAGTTGGCCTCGATGCTTTCTCATGCAAAGGTCTCTTGTGATAAAATCTCACTAGGTTTTCACAGAGTGTAAAAAAACTGTTCTTAAGTAACCGCACTGGAACATGAAAGCATGACTTTACTGTTGAACGGAACTGTTGCTTACCAATTTTTTTTGGCTGCTGGCAAAAAAAAGTCATGGATTTGAACAGAAACATTGATCCACGTTGAGGCCCCGCGCTATGCAGGAAATTAGTAAGTCATCAATTTAAAATGCGTTGTCATGGATGTTTATTCCCTAGGATAATGATCCTGCAGACATGCCTCTTCTCGGTTTATGGATGAGTCGTAGCCCTAGCCATCCAGCAGTGGACCTCAGTGTTGTCAGAAAAACCCTAGGTCCAACCGACCAAGAAAGGTATACATTAACCTTTAATGTAACTTCCAATGCTTGTGATTCTTTGGTATTTAGTTGATAAGACTATACTTAGCTGTTCCACAGAAACAATCAGTTACTTATTTCAGGGTTTCTGGCCAGAAATTTATCTATAACACTGCATGTCTGAAACTTGATCTGAAGGGAAGGATGGGAAGAGTTGGCCCGCTTCACCCTGCACCTTTACAAAGTAGCACAGGAAACACTGCAAGTTATTTGAATGATTTGGGACTTAGTTATAGTTGAAAGTACATGAATCCTGCTGTAGGAATGGTGACATGTCTAAATCGTTGCACCTGTTTTTTTTCCTATTTCCCCCAACACCAACAACCCTGTAAAGGAATTCAGGTTGGTGTAGTGGCTCTTTCCTCATCTTTTGCCTCTGCGGCCTGGGTTCGATTCCCGGCTCAGTCCGCATGTGGATTAGGCTTTTCAGTCCCTTGCTGATTCTGCAGGTTTTACCCAGAATATTCATTGGGGGTTTCCTCCCACCTCTAAAACTGCAACTGCTTCTCACTGTCTCCTCTCAACAGGTGTCTTCAGGCTTGCGAGCTACAGTGCCTAGGGTGCTTTTGAGAAGTCCTTGTTTTCATTATCCACAATGTTTAATGATGATATCACCTTTGCTTTGCCGTTCCAATTTCAGCTCTAAACCCAAGATAACACGCAGGAAGACATCGGGCAGGGTGTCCCTCCTCCAAGCAGAGCTAGAGAAAATAGCCAACGCAATCAACAATAGGTGAGGCTGTAGGTTGTGGATTTCTTATTGCTTTCCTTGATGTTTGTCTGGAAAACTGTTCTGGAAGCCATCTAATGTGGCAAAAGGGCAGTTGGCAAGTTACTGCAACCAGAGGGACAAATTCAAAATTTTACCAAGGTGTGCAATTTTACCATAGATCAGCTGGATTTGTTTGTTTGTTTGTTTTTTACTATGGGAATATGCTGTTACAAATTGAAAACACTACAAAAATCTAGAGCAACTTCGAATTTCCTCCTTTTTTCTGGCTTCGCACTTGTTCACTGATCTTTCACAAGAGTTCTTGTTTTGACTAGAACCCTACGATATTGAATTGAAAATAAGTGTGTTTGCCTGTTGTACTAATGTTCAGTGTCTCCAAGGATGCCATGGGCGGACACATGGAGGAGAACTCCACAATTCCTGAAGGACATCAGGAGCCTCTTTGTACTAAACAACTCCAACAAAAGGAGCCTGTGCATACTGGACAACAACTCTCTCAGAAACAACTTGTGACCGAAAACGTCAGCAGGGATAAACCAGCACCAAATGATGCCCAACATGTCTCCCATCATCAAGCAAATACAAGGCAGTTCATCACTGACCAGTCTGACACTGGAACATTGTCAATCTCGCAGTTCAACAGTGGTCACTTAGTTTGTGATCAGTCAAATTCTGGTCGACCAGACGTTTCCAAGTCAAAGGTTACTCAATCAGCCTCCAGTCAGTCAGACGGTAGCAGTTTGATGACTGTTCAGTCCAGTGCTTGTCGAGTGCCCACTTCCCAGTCTAAGGTTGGTCAGTCAGTCAATGGTCAGACAAATGCCAACTCTTTGGTCACTGGTCAGTCCAACACTCATCGAATGCCTATTGCTCAGTCGAAAGTTGTTCAGTCATTGTCAGGTCAGCCACTTGTTCAGTGCAGTGTTTCTCAACCCATTGCTTCCAAGTTAAATTCAGGCTCTTTGCTTGCTGATAAATCCGGTACTTCCCAATCATCAACCTCTGTGTTCAACTCTGGTCAGTCAGTCACTGGTAAGACAAACGTGGGATGTTTAGTCACTGGTCAGTCCAGCACTGGTCAAGCATCTCTTTCCAAAGCCGATAATGGTCAATTGGTCATTGGTAAGTCAAATACTCACCGTTTTGCCGCTGGTCAGTCTAGTACTTGCCAAAGATCTACCTCACAGTCCCTCAGTGGTCAGTCATTCTCTGGTAAGTCAAATACTGGCTATTTGGTGACTGGTCTGTCAATTGGTCACAAATCGTCAACCAATACAGGTCAGTCAGTCATTGTTGGTAAGTCCCATGCCGGCCATGTGCTTAGAGGTCTTTCTAGTACTGGCCAAATCTGTACATCTGTGGCCACCATTGGACAGTCAGTTACCGTTACTTCAAATGCTGGCACTGTTATCACTAGTCAGTCAATTGCTCATTTATCGTCAATTTCTCACTTCAATACAGATCAGTTGGTCAATGTTGGTAAGTCAAATACTAGTTGTCTTGTCACTGGTCAGTGTAGGTCAGGTCAAACGTCCACATTTCAGTCCATTACTAGTCAAGCAGCCCCTGGTCATTCAAATGCTAGCCATCTGGTCACTAATCACTTAAGGTCAGGCCAAACATCTATACCTCAGGTCACCACTGGTCAGGCACTCACTGTTAAGGCAAATTCTGGCTGTTCGATTACTTGTCAGTCTAGCACTCATCAGCCATCCACATCTCAGTTAAAACCTGGCCATTTGACCAGTGACCAGTTAAATGCTGGCCATATGGTCACTGGTCAGTACAAGACTCCTCAGTTGTCTTTGTCACACTCCAGTACTGGTTTTCAGATCTATTCAGGCCATTTGATGACTGGTCAGTCCAGTAAGGGTCAGTCATCCACAACTCGGTCTACCGTTTGTAAAGCAGTCACTGTTAAGTCAAATTCAGGTCATTCAACTGCAGGTCGGGCCAACATTGGACGCTCATTTGTGTTTAAGTCCAAAACCAGCCAGTCACCCCCTGAACAGTCCATCAACGTTTCCCATCCCTCTAGCACCAGTCAAGCCAGCACAGGCCACTCGAACTTGGGCCAAGTCTCCTTTGGCCAGTCCAGCTCCAGCACCTCATCCAGCAATAGGCTGACAAGGAGTCAGTCAGTCATGGGCCCGGCATCAGCTGACTATGACGACAGTGTGTGGAGTGGCTGTCTAGACGATGAGACTTTGCTCGAGCAATTGTCCCAGGCTGAGGCATTGGAGAAGACCAATACAACTGGACAGCAATCCTCAACTGGATCCTTCAAGCCAAACCCACCAGCCTGTAACAGCAACCAAGCCAGTAAATTCAACCCTCAGACAGGCAGCACTAATCAGCCCAAGCTAGTGACTGGCCTCACAAGGTCAGTGGTAGGTACCATCAGTGCGTCCACAAACGGTACCCTGAAGAAGACAAACACTGAGCCTCTAATCAATCAAGAGTCGGCCGCAGACCCATTTGACGGTAGTCTGACGGATGACATGTTGATATCACTGTGCACTGGGATGGACTCACCTCAGCGACAACCGTCTTCTACCGCAGACACCAAATCTGTTACTGCTACAAGAACCATTTCAGCATCTGTCAAGGTGGCCCCAAAAGATCATAAATGGCAGCAAAGCACGTCAGGATTGACACACTTATTATCACATGACCCTCCAGTTTCATCAAGGAGTCATCTCAAACCCATTGTTCCTCCTGCTCAAACTGGTAAGTTTATAAATTGAAAAAGTCATACACGTTCTGTAAACTGAGTTTGGATTTCGGCTTTCTTAAAATGATCTGTTCTGAAGACATTTTAATAACAGCAAGCCAAGCAAGACACATTCTGCCCCAAATCTTGCCAAATTATGAATCAATCACAGCTACTTTGTTGATCATTTTTCACATCATCGTGTTCTTGTTTGATATGAAGTTATGGTTTGGGCATAGAGTGACATGGGTCTTACCAAGATGCATGGCCTGAACCTTTTTAGCTATTAAATGAATATTAATGCTTTGCCTTACAAAAATTCCTCTGGTTTTTTTTTTTACCATTGCTGATGTATAACACGATGCACAAATGCCTCATCAACTTATTTTTCAAAAGAATTGGCCCCATTTGTAAAATACACTAATGGAACCACCTAGTGTACAACATATCTTGCCTCTTGTTCTGCAGGGAATTGTCAGAAAGTCTGCAGCCAGACTGAAATTGAAAAGAAGCGACAGCAGGCCATGGCCCGGCGAAAGAAACATGGAAAGAGCAGTGGACGCATGGAGACATTTAAAGGAGCTGGAGTGCACGGATGCATGCCACCTTCAAGGTGAGGTAAAGCAAAGGATTGGATGTGCTCCGAAGAGAGATGGTCAAGGTCCTATGTTATTGAGCAAAGCAAGGGCACCTTCTGGACACTTATGGGATGCATAAAATTGTTGGCTTGTGTTGGATCCTGGTCCTCTTTGCTGAGAATTCCAGTGTTGTAGTCGAGACCTCTTAAGACCATCACAAGACCGTCACAAGAACATCAGAAGGCCGTCACAAGAAAATCACAAGACCATCACAAGACCATCACAAGAACATCACAAGACCGTCACAAGACTGTCACAAGACTGTCACAAGAACATCACAAGACCGTCACAAGAACATCACAAGGCCTCCAGTCTGACTTCAGATCAGGAGCTATTCCAAATGAGAACTGTAAACGGAGCGAAGCTTTGTCACCCAGCCTGTTATGTGCGACCGGTCTTCTGTGTGGTTTGGTGAGGGTCTTGACTACAACACTGAAGTGTTCATCAGTGTTTGCACTTAGCTGATTGGGAACTGAATGTATTCAGAATTAGTACATTCACTCTCCTGTAGACTCTCTGTACCATGCACAGCACAGTGAGCACCAGTATGAAATGCATTGTATGTGAAATGGAAAACTATCAAAAGTTTACATGTGCTTCCCATCAAAAGTCTGTTCCTAATGACGAGACTGCACTTTCTGTTATACGTGTACATTAAATAACCAATACGGTGGAGGATGTGTTGTATAAATTTTGCCATTGAATCAGGTAAAAACAGTTGTTTAAACCACATTGACTGTTAAATATCAAGTGTTGCTTGGCTTCAAGTTCCCAAATTCAGTTGTTTTGTCTTTATTTATATCTTCGGAGCTATGGAGAATGTGTCACTGGAGCATAAAATGAGACTTACTGGACTTGTGACAGTAAATTAGCATAACTACATGTACATTTAATTTATTAAGCATGCATTTTTGTTTGGTGTAGGTGTGTTCGATATTTTAGACATGAGAAAAAATGATGCAAGTGAACTCCAGGATAATGAAGTTCTGCAGTTCAGTTCCATTTAGACTTTAGGCTACTTTGCCTCAGAAAATAGAGTAGCTAACTTAGCCTTTGAAAATAATTGGGTGGCTACTTTGCCTTAGAAAATAAATAAAAAAAAATTGAACTCTCTCTTTTTGTGTGTTTTTCTTTATGCAGTTTTCTTCTTTCACAAACTAAAGTAAACAAATTTTTAAATCAAGAGGAAAATAAATAGACCACCTGAGAAACAAATAAAGTAAGATATGAAAAGAAACGCTGCCGCTGTAGCTCACCAGAATATATAAGCTGTATGCTACTGCCAAACAACCCGGTTCACCACAACAACGAACGCGAAGAAAAGAATAAAAATTAACAACCGGAATCACCTAGAAGGAAGCAGAAGAAGTCAAAGTAGTGAAGCGACCGCTGTGATCATCAGCAATGCAAGAAAGAATGAGAAAGAGACCCGTGGCAATAGGGGCTATTTAAAGAGAAATGGGGACATGCTTCACTGCTTGCGTTACGTAATAAACGAAAAAGGCAATGACAGAAATTGGACTGGGGGCTACTACAAGACTTCATTAATTGGATGAACCTAATGAAAAGTACAAGGGTTACTTAATTATAAAAAAAACCTAGTCATGTTGATTTTTTTATACATAGTTTCCTTTTTTTAAGAATACATGTTATAATACTGTCGAGCCTCGGTAATACGAGCTCGGGTAAGACGAGACACTGGTTTAGACGAGCATATTGCCAGTCCTGACTGAATTGTGCACATTCCTATGAGGGGAAAAATGTGTAATACAAGCTCGGATGTCACAAGATTTTGGTTAAGATGAGCATTTTTTTGCACACCGGGTGAGTGCAAATCTATTGTTATCAATCTATTTAGAACAGGCTTTTTGGAAGGCAACATGTCAATCAGCCAGTCCAATTTATGCATATACATGTAATTCTGTCACCCAAAGACAAAAATCATAAATGCTGATTTTGAAAATGTAAAAATATGTAACATCAAATTTGCAAACGAAGTATTTACTTGCATCACCACACATCCCATAATTTGCAAGTAGTCAAAATGATCCCAAGTATTATTGGACCATTTGGCCCTTGGTCTGGCACCCTCTTTCTCTCATCAATATATAACCATTTTATAGCATGATGGATAATACCACCCTGACTCTTTCTCATTAATAACAATCATATTGCACGATGGATTACACCCATGATTAATAGTGTACCCCTAATTTCAGATAAATCCTCAATTACAGTATTGTGCGCTCTATAACACACACTGTGAGGGGGGTGACAACATGGCCATATATGTTACACAAGGCAAAATATTGCCAGCATTTCAACAATCTTTTTTCTCCTTTATATGTCCAAAATTATAGCCGTATGGGCATTGTATACATATATTTATCAGAAAAACCCAACTGTGTTTTTTGTTCGAACATTAAATTGGTTAAATATTAGCATGTTTTTCGAAAGAATGCTGGATCTTCAGAAGTGCAAGCAACTCGATCGGACTCAGAGGAAAATTCGCATATCGGATATGGCTTACTTAGCCATTTATTTATTCGATCTGAAAAGGATAAAGTTATTAACTATTTTTGTCAATGTTGAGTTTCCTAGGATAACTAAACTTCAAAAGAGGTTCCCAAAATCTGATTGGGAGTAGTCAATAAACTGGCAGTCATGTTTAACAGTGTGCATATTATCTTTCCTTTCAAGAGCTTGTTACACATGTACTACATACTGCACTTATCGGTTCTTCAAACTAGGCCTACAGCTAAATTGACTGACATTTGATCATAACATTCAACCAGGCTAAACTAAGGTGATAAAACTGACTTTGGTGACTTCAGTGAAACAGGTAAGTTCAACATATTCATAACACTTACTTGAACCTAAATCTCCGGTGAGATAAGTCTCATGTATGAATTGGTTTCATCTCAGTACGTGTTACACTGTAAATATTTGCTAAATCTAACATTAAAAATTGTGCAAAGTTTCATGGTCCAAAGTCTCAAGAACTCCTTTGAGAAAACACTCGGAAGCAAACTTACTTCTTTGGCAAACTCCTCCAAGATACTATTTTAACTTGGGCTATGAGAGTCTCTCTGTGCAGGCTGCAAACTTATCACATTTTGGTCAGGATTTCTTCACTGGGAAAACATTAACAAAAAAAGCTGACAAAACATGGAGCTTCTTATTAGTAAACTATTGAGGGCGATGTTTAATGTTTTGATCTGGGTCACTGGAACATCCTCTCCCGATGAGAAGTTAGTCCTCATATCCTTCCGACAGGTAGAGCACTGTGATCTTGTGGATGGATCTCTGGTATTCTCCTGTTGCCGTCTTCACCTTGACGTTGTGTACCTTGCCATCTGGCCCTGGGTATACTACAAGAACACTACCGACACTCCATCTCCCTCGTACTCCCTTGGGTCTGCTACAGTCACGACATCGTTGACACGAATGTTATGCTTCTCTGCTTTCCATCTTTTTCGCAGCACCAGTAATGGTAGTACATCCCGGCTCCACTGCCTCCAGAATGAGTCTATGATCCTTTGTACGAACTCCACGTGGTGTCTGGGATTCTTCGTCTCATGGGGTACTCTGCCAGATGACTTGCCCAGTAGGATATCATTTGGAGAAAGGTAGATACCATCAACCGGGTCGTTGGGAAGCCTTCCGATTTGTCACTGATTGACTAGATCCACAACCTCAAGTAGAACTATGTAGACTTCGGGTGTCAGGATCTGTGCTCCAACTGCAGGTTTCAGTGCAGTTTTACAACTTTTTACCATTGACTCTGCACAACCATTTTGGTGGGGTGCATTGGGCGTAATGAACTTCCACTCCATCTTCTTTTCTGCACAGAACTCTCAACTTTTCAGCATCCCAGCCTTGGATCATCTTTCTTAGTTCTCGCTCGGCTCCCACTAGCTGCATCCCGTTGTCACTGATCATTAGAGCCGGATAACCTCTGATGGCAAAAAACCGTCTGAGAACTTGCAGATACTCCATTGTGGAGCAGTCAACTGCCAACTCAAGATGTACAGCTCGTGTGTTTAGGCAGGTGAATATAACACCGTAGTGCTCTGTAGCCTTATTTTGTCTGATCTTCACATTGTATGGGCCAAAATAGTCGCATGACGTGAAGTAGAATGGTGGCATGTATGGTGCCAATTTCTCCTTTGGTAGGTCTGTCATAAGCTGGGTCTCGGTCTTATGTTCTGCTTCATGGCATGGAACACACCTAAATTTGACTGTTTTAGCTAGATTGTGCACCTCTTAGATCCAGAACTTTCTTCGTGCCTTCGCAACCATGGTTGCTGTCCTGATGCATCTGTCGCATGATCAATGGTAATATGTGGTGCTCCTTTGGTAGCAATGCTGGATGTCTCACTTACCACGTCATCAAAGATGCATCTAATCTGCCACCTACTCCAAGTACGGACTCAGACCTTTGAATTCACTCTTGTTTAGACGGTCATGTAGACTCTTCTGTGCCTGGAGTACCAGATACTTTTCTGCCTCCTGGAGTTCTGGTGACAAAAGAGGGCCATCATCTCTCCCAGTCATGTTGAGTTGACGTTTGACGCTAACGTTCCACGTGAATCTCAAGGTGTAAGCAGTAACTCGGGCAAGTTTTTTCCAGGATGAGAACTTTGTGCTTTCAATGACTTCTTCTCTTCCCTGTACCACGAAGACACTTTGCCCACTATGTTGCTTCTTCGCCATTTCTGCTTTGACACACCTGACGGCCATTCCTCCTCTGGTAGTCGTAAAAACTCTGGCCCCTGTTGCCAACGCTCAGTCAGGTGTTTGACTGGAATGCCACAAGAGACATCATCTGCTGCATTGTGTTTTCCGGGAATATGTCGCCACTGGGAGGGGTCAGAGGAACTCTGAATTTCACCAACTTTGTTGGATTCGAAGGGTTTGCATGCTCTCGTTTGCCCTCGGACTCATCCTAACGTGATGGAGTTATCTGTCATAAAGACCGTTTTCTCTATCTGAAGACGTGTCTCCTCCATGATGGTCTTATACAAGCGTGTAGCAACTACTGCTGGTTGTAGCTCCAGTAACGGTATGGTAAGCCTTTCGAGTGGTGCTACTCTTGACTTTGCAGCTACAAATCGGACACCAAATGTGCCATCTTGAAGTTGCCACCTGACATAGGCACATGCTCCGAATGCATCCTCTGATGCATCAGCAAAGATGCACAGCGTTGGGTCTCCAGTTGCTGTAAGTGGTGTGAGCGATCTTGTGAAGGCAACATTGTTCAATTCGTCCATTTCATTGAATAGCTTGATCCATATGTTCTGCTCTGGTAGCGGCAGCTCCGGGTCCCAGCCTAAGCCCTGTCGCCAAAGTTGGTGCGTTGCGATTTTTGCTCGAATCACAATGGATGCTGCAAATCCGACTGGGTCGAATATTTTGGCCACCTTATTTAGAATTTTCTCTTCGTCAGCCTCACAGAACGCTGATCTCCTTCAGCAGGTAAGCCGTGGGGTAAGCTCGTAGTTACTTTGAACTTGAGGACATCATGTTGGGGATCCCATGCTGTTCCAAGATGCTTTTCTTTTGTCATGACTTGGAGGGGCTTGAGGTCACACTTTTCTTTCTCAAGACTGGTCGTTTGCAGGGACTTGTTTGATAGCCAGCCCTTTACACTGAAACCTCCACTGGCTAGTACCTCGTCTATGTCCTTCGTCAATTTCTGGGCCTGCGCCACTATTGGGGTGGAGTCACAATTGTCATCCATGTACATGTTTTCGGTGAGAGCTTTGGCTGCCTCTGAACATGTGTGTTTTCCCTCCTCGGCTGTCTTCTTTAGTGCTATCTGCGCCATCGCAGGTGTAGGCTTGTCCCCAAATGTGTGTTTTGATATACACATCTGGGCTTCGGTTGATTTCCAGATCTCGCCACAGGAACCGATGGACGTGCTGATCTTTCTCGGGAATTAGAATCCGATGATACATCTTTGAGATGTCTCCCATTACTGCAACGTCATTCTCTCTGAACCTCAGGATCACCCCAAACAGGTTGTTCAGCAGGTCAGGGCCTTTCATCCAGTAATCATTCAAGCAGTGGCCTTGAAATGTGGCAGACAAGTTGAACAGAATGCGTAGTGGTGTACTTTTGTTCTCTGGTCTGAGTATGCCGTGGTGAGCAATGTAGTGAACTGGACCTGAGAGCGACGTCATTTCCTCTTGGGACAGCTTTCTGGCCAAATCCATGTTGACCATTTCTTGTATTTGACGATCATGTTCTTCAGCATGCTCCGGCTTCTTCACAAGACATCTTTCAATTGCAGCAAGTTTCTTCTTGGCTTGTGCTTTGTTGTCTGGAAGAAGATTGGGGTCCTTTTTACATGTGTATTGGAATGAGCCAGCTTTTTCCGACTTTCGTGCAAGATTCTTCGATGACTCTGGCTTCCTCCACTTCAGTTGGACTAAGTTTTGATGGTTTGCATGAACAGGACTTGAGCATCACTCCCATTGCTTCACTCGTCCAGAAATCTGTCATGTCTATTGGTGCAGAGAATTTTACATGAAGTACTCGGTTGGTTTGGCGTTGCTTTCCTGGTACAGAACCAAATATCACCCAACCAAGTGGCGAGTTGCTTGCCACAAGATCTCCTACTTCTCTCGTCTCTCCAGCATGTATCTTTGCATCGTCAATTCCTATCAGCAAATTGATGGAGCCACTTCGTCGATGAAGATAAGAGGGGTGAATCTTGAACTGCTCTGCTATGTCTGCAATTTCTACTTCAGCAACGTCATCACTGATACTTGGTATTCCGACTGCCTTCACTGTGAAAACTTGCTTCTTATTCATCGGGCGCATATGGGCTTCATAGCCTCTGGTGTGGAGTTCTTCCTCCTCTCCTCCTACTTTAGTTAGTGTCGTGACAACATCCCTTCCTCTCAGATGCAGATCTTCTGCAGGAGATGTCTTTGAGAGGCTGATCTGACTGATACTCATCGTTTTCAATACATCGACTTGAATGACTGGCAGAGAGACATCACTGCAGTGTACGGTAGCCACGCCTACGGAGTTGGTAGTCGTTGGATGATGCAGTGATTTACACTGAACTCCATTGATGAATTCAGTACACTGTCGTCTTTTCAAACATGTTGTCATACTATGGTTCCTTCCCGCCTTCTCCGGACAGCTGAAGCAAGCATGTCTATCTTTCATCGTATTCAGACTTTCACCTTGGCTCATCAAGGTTAGCTTTGGACACAGGTCTACCCAATGATCAGAAACTTGGCATGTCCAGCACTTGAAACTGGGCATCATCTTCTTGCTCGGTGATACAGCCTTGGTGACATGGCTCACTGAGTGGGACCTTGGTGTGGAGTGTTGGCTGGTGTTACGTAGTGCTGCTGCCCTCATCCATGACTTCATTTCTGACGTCATCCATGTCATGAGATTTTCCATCGTTGCTTGAGGGTTGTCTCTTTCCAGTGAACGAAACCACACTTTGCGATCATCTGTGCTCATTTTCTTCTCTACCATGGCTAACATGTGATTGTTGTCCATGTCATGGGAACAGCTAACTGCCTTCATCATGTTGTAACTGCATTTCAATAGATGTACCAGCTCACAGAATCGGTCATCCTCGTTCTCCTTCAGTGGTTTGAACTTGGCAATGTCTTGGGTGATGATATCTGCTATGAATCTTGGAACGCCTTAAACAGAATTGAGGTATTTCCAGGCAGCATCGTACTCTGATCCTAGGCCTTTAATTAGGTCAAGGGTTTTCCCTGCAAGCAGGTTCGAAGAAGTGCAATGGCATCATGTTTGCTTTACTTCTCATCAACCATGTGTAGGAAATCTGAACAGAAGGTAAAAAACTCCCTCACATCACCTGAGAATTTGGGCGGTTTCGGTTTCTCCATTTTGAGGCTGCAGAACTTAGGCTTACTGACACTGATTGGCATTTCTTCGGGGTTAGCAAGGTTTGCCTCAGGGTTAGCAGGGGGTGACTGGTCAATCAGGAACAGTAGATCAGCGGCAGGGTGTGGCTCACTAACGGGTTTTCCCACAAGGTTTGGAAAGTGTGGTTCAAGAACAGCTACAGTACATCATTGTTTGGCCTGGTAAAGGACGTGACGGGATCTATTCCTGTACCTTCATTTGGTTCAGCTTCTGTGAGTGGACTAGCTGCACTGCTCTCATCTTTCGTCAGGTAATCAGTTGTCTCATACAAAGGCTTCAGGTCAAGAAAGCTTTGTTGACATTCCACCAGTCAGGTTTCTTCATGGTCAAATTCATCATCATCATCATCATCAATGCACTGTGTGTACACCTCATGCTTCTGCACCAGATCTTCATATGCATGCTCAATTTTCAAGAGGAGATCTCTTACTTCGGCAGCCGAACAGTTACCTTCTATCAGGATGTGCAAGGCCTTGCCATGACGGGTGAGGGCTGCCTTGGCACTTCTCTTTGTCTTATTCGCTTCCTTAGCTTCTGCTTCTGCCACGATGCATACACCTCGTCAGAGTAGAAATCGAATTTTGTGGATCTTCAGAAGTGCAAGCAACTCAATCGGACTCAAGAGGAAAATTTGCATATATATTGGATATGGCTTACTTAGCAGTATTTATTCGATCTGAAAAGGACAAAGTTATGAACAATTTTCGTCAATGTTGAGTTTCCTAGAATAACTAAACTTCAAAAGAGGTTTACAAAATCTGATTGGCAGTAGTCAATAAACTGGCAGTCATGTTTAACAGTGTGCATATTATCTTTCCTTTCAAGAGCTTGTTACACATGTACTACATTCTGCACTTATCGGTTCTTCAAACTACATGTAGGCCTACAGCTTAATTGACTGACATTTGCTTATAACATTCAACCAGGCTAAACTAAGATGATAAAACTGACTTTGGTGGCTTCAGTGAAACAGCTAAGTTCAATATATTCATAAAGCTTACTTGAACTTAAATCTCCAATGAGATATGTCTCATGTATGAATTGGCTTCATCTCAGTACATGTTACACTGGAAATATTTGCTAATCTAATGTTAAGCATTATGATTATGCAAAGTTTCATGGTCCAAAATCTCAAGAACTCCTTTAAGAAAACACTCAGAAGCAAACTTACTACTTTGGCAAACTCCTCTAAGATACTATTTTAACTTAGGTTATAAGAGTCCCTTTGTGCAGGCTGCAAACTAATCACATTTTGGTCAGGATTTCTTCACAGGGAAAACATTAACAAAACACTGACAAAACATGTGGAGCTTCTTATTAGTAAACTATTGAGGGCGCTGTTTAAAAATTAATGTTTTGATCTGGGTCACTGGAACATCTGCATTTCCATGTACAGCCTTACGAGAAAAATCACACAGTCCAAATTCTTTTCCAAATGACACATAATTTCAGATATAATTTTTGCTCTCTTTGGTTAATTTTCAAAATTGTCTTTAGTTTCAGTATGAATTTTCTTTCTGCCTATAGAAAATGTGATGACTGGCACGCATCACGTTATTATGCAGACAGGCCAAGTGTGGACTGAGTTGGTCTTAGCATGGTCTTAGGCATACATGTGTATCAATGACCTAGGCATAGCATGCACCGGTATCCTTTGTCACTGAACTGTTTACATGTCTATTGTACATGAACCTTTTTATTAACAAACTTGGTTATTCCAGTGACAGAAATGGTTGGTTAGATAAATCAGTAAAATGAAATCATATGGCCAAAATATATTCAGTACATTAATAATACTTGTCCTGTTCTAGGGTTTGTGTGTAAAGCTTGCGTCAGATTTATACAGTTGTATGAAGTTATGTATCAGTTGCATATTTTAGATCCACTTTGGAAAATATTTTGAAGCTACCTTTTGTGTTGTTATTTTCAAAACAGTATTAAACTTGGTTGTTTTTTTGTAGTTGTTGAGACATAATGTAAGAGTTGCCGATAAAAATACTCATGATCAGTGTTAGAATTGGTTAATTCATTATGTGCAAGCAAAATTGATCTTTGACAGCTTGAATAACTGAGAAGGCACAAGTTATTTGAGAACACTGTGATGATGTTTGTTAATGAAACCAGATGATTCTCTTCAAAGCAACTTTGGACTGTAATGCCAGTAGATTTCTACGAGAAGCTGAAGAAAAAAGCTTTTAAATAAGGAGAAAACAACGCAACTAAAGGCCAGTTCATACTTCAGGCAAAAGCGAATCTGACGTCACAAAAAAATTTGCAGCAAAATTTTGCTTGAGCTGAAATGTGTTCAACTTTAGCAAATTCGTATTTTCTTTCGCTTTCACACGAAGTATTAATCGCCTTTAGTCACAACACAATGATCCTTGGATCATTCCAAAATGAAATCAAACCTAGGTGGCAAGACAAGTTTATTTTTCCAAACTGAAGAAACAACCGGAAAATGGTCCATACTCTGCATTGTAGATGGTTTGCGATATCTGCCAAACAGAATATAGCAAACCTATGATCCCATAAGAAGTCCCCTGCTCACAGATGCAGTACATAGGACCTATAACAGCCGAATATTTACACCAAACAAGCTGACCCTTTGGGGCCACAACTGAGGTCTTTTATTCCCTAGACTATGTGCCTAAAATATAAAACATATTGTGTATGTTTTCCCAACCAAGTATTACTTTAAATTGCCAGCCAATATTGCTCAATTATGGTAATGTATAAAGATGTTTACTTCCACTCCACCAACTGTCGAGAAAGACTGACAACTCGGACACTGACTAGGTACAAATCAAGTCAAAAAGATGGAACACTTTTCTGTTCATTAACAGTTTATTGTATATCACTGGTAAGAGTTACAGCTTGTCAGCTTTTCTATACACTAGCATTCAAAGCTATAACACATGACCAAAAAATGACAAAAACAGCAAGGGAAAACAACCAAAAAAAAAATAAAGCATAGGTATACATGCTACATGTAGCTTAGAAAACACAAAAAGTTATGATGGGGCCACACCATAAAGAGAAGTGTGGCACAAGCGTGTTACCTCTGAACTAACAATGTACATCATTCTACAAGACAGAACAGGAAAACACCACAGCTTTTAAGCATTCTAATCCAAACAACTTTTAAAGACTTTTTTTCAGTTTAATATAACTGAAAATGTATAAGTGTTTTAAATTGGTTTAAATAAGGAAAGTGTTCACACATCTTTTAAAGTAAGTTTCTGTGTTACACATACTGAAATAACTATGTGAACATGTATACATTTGACACTCTGTGTTACAAGGAACTAAACAAAATAGTTTTCTCAACACTTTTAGATGTTTTTGGCACATCAGTCATTTTTGCTTGCTTGGGGTGCTAAAAAAACCCTGGTATTAACAAGATGCCTTTCTGTTAGAGACCATTTGCGGCTGGAATCACTTTCTATACCTGACATGTTATGCCATGCCATTTTTGAAGCCAGTTTAGGCCATCTGCATCAGTTACCAAGCAACTACATACAGCTATAAAAACCTTGAACAACTATTGTTTTTTTTTTACCAACGTACACTGTGTGCCTGGAACCGGTGTAGCTTTGTATATAACCCCAGATAGAAGAATCCTTTCAGTGGACATTTGACTCCAAAAATGGTGGATCCCATTTCAATCAGTCAGGTTCAGTGCAAAGGGCCTACATCAATGAAAGAAAACAGAATCAGCAAGAAGCTGATCCATCCAAATTTCAACCTGACTGCCAAGATCTAGGGCATTTGATCACTTAACACCAGGAAATCTTATTGTAATGGCAAAGAACTATGCTAGCCCTGTCGACTCGCTACACGAGAGCTTGTCACAGTATGGAACCGACTTTGCACGACTCGTTTCATATAAAACTGGCAGTGAAATCCAATAAGCGTCAACCCAACCCCTCTGCTTCCAATGAGGGGGGCGCACAATGATTCATTTTTTCTGGAACAACACTTGGTATACAAACCATCTGCCATTAGTGACTCGCTGATGTGCACTGATCACATACCTAGATTTGTGTACAAAATAAATACAGCCATCCCTGCTCGCATTACAAATAGGCAATAAATGTGTGCCTCTTCCATATCTCGCTGCCATGTACCAGCCGCTTGTGTCATGCATGCGTACACGCATGTTGCACTTTTGTGCACACATGTTGAACATGAATCATGACTGTGATTGGTCAGAACACCCTGGGGCTGAGGTAAATAGATGACCTTAATCTTCAACTTCAAAATATCTTTAAAATAACATGAAGCAAGATATGAGAAAGAATCTGCACAATGTTACAACCTTGAATACTCCTTGTTCTTGGGACTGGGGAAAAGTAACATTTCATCAATCCATAAAGAATTATATCCACATGGATCCTGATAATATAAATACAAGAGGTAGAAAAATCCAATCGCTGTGTACATCTAAAAAATAAAGACCTCTCAAGGTTTAACAACAAAAGCAGTCCAATCATGTAGGCAAAATGCTTTCATTATTTCATATTACAAATGAAACAGCACTGTGCCATTAATTTTTTTTTCTGAACTTTGTTACTATGCTTCTTGTGTCATCAAAATCTGTGAAATTTATTTAATACATATTCACAAATGTCTAATATAACATTAATGAAACACTCTGCAGTCATTAAATGTTGAATACATTTGTAGCATTTCCATGAAAGTTAATCCTACACTTCCCTTTCATCTTGGATTTCTTCTCGGAGACATTTCACTTTCCCCTTTTTCTTCCTGATCATCCGTTTACAATTACCTAAAGTGAAATGAGAAGGACCCCATGAGAATACAGGTAGATTACATTCAACAAATGTTCCACAGCAATCTAAATGCGCAGTTGACGCATTTGTATTTAACAGATATTTCTATATTCGTTTCTGGTCAAACACTCGGAAGTAATCTTGGCTTTGAGCCATTTTTTCCCCCCAAACCATATGGTGGTGTCCTGTTATAATTAGAAGTTTCCGACAATAAGAAGTGTGCTGTTCAATTAGAATACATGTTCCACACTGCCATCAAGGGTAACCATGAGTAATTAATGCCAAAGCCCTCTACCTGACCTTTCATTTGCCGTATATTACCACACTGCAGAAAGCTTTGTTGCTTGCATTTTCTTGATATTAACTGGTTCCGGGAACATGAACGGCATAAATCCCATAACTTAATTGGTTCTACCTTACACAGAGTGCTAGCACATGCTTGAATGTGGCAGAGGACAACTCGAGTGTTTGTGGTGCCAGCATATCAGCCCTTTTGCACTCCAAGCAGCAATCCCTCTTCATATACACCTAGGCCAGTTCTAAAATCAAACATCCCTGCAGATTTACGATGTCCTAATCCCTGTAGGAACTTTAAATGGGAGTTCACAATCCAACACACTGCAGATTTTGCCATGAAAATTTCATGACATCATCACTGCAAGTTCACAGTCGCATTCATTTTCAAGAGCAAAATCCAGCTTTACACGGAGTGCTGCAGTGGCCCACAGGGATATCAGATCTGGTTACTTGGCTTCATCTACAGAAACTTGTTCTGCATGGCAAATGCGATAACTTTAATGGATAGCAACTGGTGTCTTGCCAATTGGTTCTGAGATGAATTTACAGTAAGCTGGAACCCCTCAAATGCAGCATGATATCCACAAACATGCACTGTTCTTGGCAAGAACAAAATACAAATGGGGGGTTGCATGGCTTATATGACCCCCCAACCAGTAGTAATTTTTCCTCCTGTCTATCTTCATGTTTTTAACATCTCACTTCTAACAGGAGACAAATTAGTTAAGTAGTTTTCAAGAATCAGAGCAGTTGATAAATATATTTGTGCCTGTCCAATCAAAATAAGCACAAGATTACTGAACAAAAGGGGACAAAAGAAGTTAAAAGTCAGTAAGCAAGGGTACCATTTTGCATACTTCACCAAAACAGGGCAAGAATAGTGTTATCCTATTTCAAACATGTCTGTCAAAATATTTCAATAAAGTAGTGCCCCAACATAACAAAACGGTCTAGTTAAAAATGCTGTGTCTCATTTGTATCCACACGTTGGATAGTATTATAAGAAGCAATGTTTTATCAACTGTTTTAAATACACACTCGTACAAATGGACTATGTATTTACACCAAATAAATCCTTTTTTAGTTCTGCAAGCACCAATACTTTGGTTACATTACTGCTAAAAATTGCCCAGAAAAATCGAAAACCTACTTTAACAATGCTGATGAAATTCTGCCCGTCATGATCAACGTGGCATTTTCTATAACCAGAACATATTGCACTCTCAAATGTACAAACCATTACCAACAATGGCTGCACATTTAAGACAATTAATATTCTCTTTTTCTTCTCCTTGTTTTACATCAGTCTGATGTCAAATCCCATGAATTTCCCAAAGCATCAATGGGACAAGCCATTTTGAAGAAATGTTAAATAAAAGCAATTAACACAAAACCAGGTGGGCAGCATACATTTCAATGTTACGCAAACTAAGTATACAGACTGTGACACTCAGATCACTGATTACTTAACACAGATTTCAAACTCTGTAAAGTGTTTAAGTTACACCATCTGCCTTTTTCAGACAAAACAAAAGATGACACGAAAACCACACAAAAACACGTTAGTATTCACATGTACGTGATGAAACACAGGATCTAGGTATCTAAGTCATAATCTCACCCCGACAAGCACTCTTCGAATAAAAAACTTGAAGACCGTATGTATATTTACACAAAAAATGAGCTATATAACCAAGTTATTAACACTACATCCAAGTTTAAATATATTTAAAAAGTAACAAACAAAACTGTCAACTGCTATTTTGGGGGGGGGCAGAAATAACTTGTGAAATTTTCACGAATCAATCATCATGATAAGTCCACCACACAAACTAGGACAAAAATGCTTAAAGAGCAAGTGTCCAGATAACTCAGCTTCATTACCTTGCTTGTGTGAGTGTAACATAACGGTGTCTGTCGGTGATATTTGGGACTACACCACACCACATTATGCCGTGTTCCACTCAAACGAGTGGGACAAATTTATTTTCCAGCAAACTCGGCACCCGGGTACATTTTTTTATTCACGGTGTACTCTGCAGCTTTGAATTGGTACGCTTAACCTTGCAATAATGCAACGTGCGGTGTGCAATCAGACTTGTGGTGTATGAGCATGTACTGCATGGTCAGCTGCCATGCATGTGACCAATCAGGATAAGGGATTCAAGTTAGCTCAAAAATCAAATGACATACAAAAGCCGTATCAAGTCATGTTGTGTCTCGGAAATGCAGGGCTAAAAGAGATTCACTGGAGGATGGAGTGTCCATAGTATCAAATAATACTGGCTCTTTGATGTCACTTGTTGAGAGTAACTAAGATGAGAATCATTTGCCTACAAGTCGTGGCAACATGAAAGATCTCAACTCCCTCATTTGCATATTGCATGAATACCTGATGGTGACTTTCAATTGGTCACTTTCAATTTTTGAATATTTTTCCTTAATTGGAATAGCAAGGTCTGTCAAAATAATTGAATTGTTGGCAAGCCATGTATTTCCCTTCTTTGCAGCCAAAGCCATCAATGCCAAATCTACAACTTGGCATCTAAACAAATGTAACCAATTCAATGGCTAAATACATTATACTATAAAGTGACCTTCGGCTTAATCAGAAGAGGCAAAATAGGAAGGCTTGATGTCAACACTGGTCACTTGACTAGAATTTAGTACAAGTTGGGACCTCTTGCCTAAAGGTTGGAAGTTTCTCTCATCCATATCATCAGGAATCCATTTAAAGCAAATAATTTAGTCTGTTTCCAAATTTGCATGGCAAGAATACTAGTTTGTACATATTTCCATCAAGTGAAAGGGTAAAAAGTGGTATACAGGTAAACAGTTCCGCAAGTGTTTTTGGAGTAGACAAGAGTATGTGGGTGGGCTGTAACAGTGGGAGTAAGAGCATTGGCCCAGGTGAAAAGTACCATGATATACCACAGAGGTTTAAAATCCAATTACACTAGATCAAAAAGGATGACTTTGACAATATAACTTGTCGGTGGCTACGTATACAATTGTTTTTGTGTCGTCTTTTTTTTCTTCTTCCTCACGCTGTGACTGAGTCGTTGTGGTTGAGAAGACTTGGTGATGACTGGCCAACCGCACTGTGAGATCCACTGTGCCCCGATGCATGATGGGACATCATCATGGAGTGGGGGTGGCCGGCGAGCATCATGGCTTGGGAGTGCATGGAGGGGTGGAGCTGGGTAGAGTGGGAGTAGGAGGAGCCACCTGAGGCAGGGGGCATGCCCATGCCTGAGACAGCTCCTGACTGGCTAATCATGTCACTGCCAATCATGCCCTGACCACCTATCCACAGGGGGAAAACAAGAAAGAAAACAGCAATTGACAAATTAATTACCACTGCCAAATACTGGCAACACGAAGGTCAGAGCCACTATCAGATAGTTACAAACATAGGCTCCACATCTCTTCTCCAACCCCAAACTCAATCAGCTTGCTGCCAGAAATCTAACATAACCAATGGCACATTCTCCAAACAGCATTAAGCTCTGAGCAATGTTACAGAGTCTGGACCCTATCTCTCTCAATCTTTAAAAATCCTGCAAAACTTCCCAGAAGATCTTGAAAGATCTCAGAGGGGTTATTGATCTGGGTTTTGGGGGATATCTTGATAATCAACATCTTTTAGGTTAGCCAGGCAATATAAGTGTTTCATCAGAATGGTTATTTTTTTAGACATAGATTATGCAATTACCCATTGAATCCTGGTAATCTAAGAAAACATTTCTTAGAAGAACACATCGCATAGTTTTAGGATTCTCAGAAACTGAGTTCAAAGAAAGTCCACAAATTGGTTTGCATCCTCTGTATCCAGAAAACAATTTAACCCCTTAACGCACCATTGTTCTCATGTTCCCTAAGGGAACCATCAAGTTTGAATGGTTTGAATGCCAACATGGATAGTAATCCAAATAGTTTCCAACTCTCTATAAGTGATTGAGGCAAGTGATTTTGTGCACAATTTCCAAATGTCAGAAGTACATACTTCAAGCAGTGGACACACACATGCTCTAGCAACACCTCACTGTGATGTAAACATGCTGGTGAGTAAACCTTTAGCAAACAACTTACTCAACTAGTGTCCTGTACATGCATGACCAGAAAATCCACTTAATCAAACATGCAATTTGGACCAAAATCTACCTAGAAACTCCACCAAAAAAGTACAAACATGTAAACACTGCTCTGTAAGCAAGATTAAAAAATGCACCAACATCACCACATGCACAAATTTACCACCCCTCTTCAGAATGGTTATCTGAATCATGGTGAAGTGTCCTCACCATCAGCCACACAGTGAAATGCTTCACCACAAAACTTAAGCATTCCGTCAAGAACCGTTGACCTTGTTACAGGGGGCAAAGGGACAGATATCAGTAGATTCCAACTTCAATTTTAACCCCAAATACACTGCTGGTATCATTGTTAACACCATCTATTAACAGCACCTGTCGAACATTGTAAATTGCCTGGATGGACCTGACTATTTTCCACATCATTTAGTGCAAGAACTTTACAAAGGCTCCACACCCAACATTTCCCAGGTGTGTTGGATCATAAATGCATAACAGGTGGATTCTCTCAATCCACTGGCATTTTGTTTCACAAAACTCCTTTCCCCCCTTAATCCACCCCCGTAATTACTGAAACATTTTGCAGCCAAGAAATACAGATATAGTCTTGAGTTACCCTGTATGTCAACCTGCTCCCTTCCTCGAATCTTGCCCTCAATTTCCACCTCAGAGAAATTAAGAAACATATTCCCAGGTTTCATCATCTACCTACAAGCAACATCTGTGACACAAGCCCTTCCCCAAACCATCCAATCAGCGCAACAGGTAAAGCTCGGCTAAAAAATCTGAGATGAATCAGCCCGGCATCAAGCAACGGTATCTGCTATGATTTCACAAATTACATCTCTTTCCCCCCTGACAGCTCTTACAAGATGACAGGGCAATGAACACGTCAGGACATTCCTCCCTCCTGAGGGTATCCTGACAGGTAGGGACCTTTGGGTCTGGAATTGAGAAGGGTGAGGGGGGGTGGTAATATTCTGACGACTATCAACTGACTAGCTACGAAATAAATGGAGATATGATTAAGCCCACCGTAGTGATGGAGCTGGAAAGGGGGGTTATAATTGGAATCCCGGATGAGGGAATCGGAGGTCCCGACTTGGGTTGCCAGCGATTATTCTCAAGCTCTTCCATCATGATCATGTACTGAGACATCATTCATTTCAAGGAGTTTCCTTTGCCTATCAGACAGCAACTCTGTGGAAATTAACCAAGCCAGAAATCGTTTCCTCCATGTAAGACTTTTCTTTTCCATTTTACAATTTCCAAACAAGTTGTTCAAATGGCCTTTTTTCCCACAACTTAAATGACTTGGTGCGCCAAAGGTAGCCTTTAAACATCTGAAATGCTGCAGGCAATTCCGACGTACCACCTTACATTGTTTCCACAGTATTTCCATGCCAAAATGAATGTTGTGGCTGTTGTCCTTCTATCCGGATCCTGATGGATGTTAATTCCTTTGCAAACACGGATGAAGGACTCTTTCAAAACTCAAAACCTGTGTCCCCTGACAACAATGAAGGTTAACACCAGTACACACTAAAGCAGGACAAGCTGTATCAGTACGATAAAAATTTGACTATTTAATTTTTTTTTTTATGTTTAAAAAAAAAAAAGCCGCCAAGCAGTTGGGCCATACTGTGGCCTCCGTGACAGGACAGGGACCACTAAGTAGGCCACAGAGTGAAGCTATTTGCGACATTTCCCCAACTCTAATGCGGCATCAGGCTCAGGAGCACAACAAGTTCATTAGCCCACTTCCCCCATAACCTAGCCAGGGGGGGTCTCCTAATGTGCAACGGTAATCCATGGGATTAGCCCAACTCAGGTAGTTTTACAGAAGAAAAAAAAAGGGTTTCCCGAGTTCACCTGCACTAGATGGTCATTCCCTCTTGCAATGTGCACATCTAGACCTAGTTGCCGGCAAATTATTTTCCTCCTGAGTCAATATTTGCAAAAATTTCAGGAAGGCAGCAAACATCAAGCTATCAGGTTTCATTCCGGGCATTTGAGTCTCTAATGAGTAGCATGCAGTTTTTGTGTACCATGCCTGGGCTGCCAAGGGTTGAACTTATCAAAAACTAGTCCGGCACGCTGGCGACGCTCCTAGACTTACAAACATTGGCAGTAAACTGGAACTTGGAAGAAAACACAGGCAATGTCCAATTCAAGGTATGGATGACGATAGTCTCTGGTAAGTTTATGTGATGCTGCATGACCACAACATGAACAAAAAATGGCACATACTGACTCAAAACATTTGGCAACTCGGTCAGCAGGTGGAGTTCAGTTAATAGGAAAAACGAGTTCCACTCATAACACGTTTTTTCTCTCCTGACTCACTACAGCAGTCACTGAAGGGCTCGCAAAATCATGGTGAATAAACTGTCTGTTAAAATGCATAAAGATGGTTGAACATATTTTGCCCAGCACTCCACACTGCCACCGACAGAGGGCATTCTACTAGAGGGCAGGCAGCCACCACACGGCATCTACCTAAAATCCCCCTCAGGCTTGCTACTTGCTAGCTCTGACCCATCCCCAGGGGTAGCAACACAACGGATTCATTTGATCAGGCAGCAGAGTGACAGTGACGTCTCCATTTTCATTAAGGCCAGCAACTCCACCGGTGTTTACTTTTAATATGCATCTTGCCAGTCATCTGTTGCAGATCATATTTACAGCCACTATATCATTCGTCCTCGGCTCCGATGTCTTAATGACACAACCAACCACGCAAGAATGAGCCTGGACGCTTGATACTACTAACTTCCTTTTTTTTGTTCCCTGTACAGCCAGTGTTAATCTGCCGTTGTCCAACTCCTGCGGCGATGTGAGAAACATTGGATGTATCTTCCACCCAGGATATTAAATGCAACGTCAATCTTCATTACAGACATCAATGCATGAGCAACAGTGCAAGACACCAACAGTACAGAGATCAGTGGTTCTGAGAAATGCATCTCATCAGTGGTTTATATTGAGACATACACACTGTACATGTAACTTTTTTAAACATGAAAGTTAACTTTTGTGACAAGAATAGCCTCTTTCACAAAGATGACAAACCTTATTTATGTGCAGAAAAGAAACAGCCTGTTTCAAAATGACCGATCCTATTTCACTAAGACAGCCTACAGACACACAATGGAAAACTTCCATATACATACACGTTACGATGAAGGAAATGTGAACAGGAAAACTACACAGAAATCACAACCTGAGTCCCTACTGTAAGGTCAATAAGCCAATCAAGCTGTTGTTTCTTCAAATGCCTGTGATTTGATTCCAGGCAGAACTGTGTGGATCATCAATGAGACCACTTTTTCCAAGGATTTCAAATCATGTCTAAAATACACAATTTCCTTTTTCCTCTGAGGGTCAGCAGCACTAGAGCAAAAAACCAAGACTCAAACGAGAAATACTGATAGTAAATACCCTGCAAACTTTTGACCTTTTCCAACCATTCTAAAAGATTTTTTAGTATAAATTGGAAGCCCTCCCTAACACTTTTTCTCCTCTCCTTCAAGTGCAGGATTGATTATGGTGATTGAACTGTCTTCAAAACAAGGAAAGACTTATTAGTAACTGCTTACGACACTGTTAGGCAGATTAAATGGACTTCATACGTGAAGTCTGGGAAAGTCCCCTCCCTTGCCCCTGATGCTTATTACTGAGCTTTTTTTAATTTGTAGTTGAACATTTCGTTTTGGCTTTCTGACAATCCCTAATGAACATTTGTAAATAAGCAAAGAAAAATTAACTGACTCTGGCTTATCGACCTGACAATATCTGCATACAATCAAAAAGATACAAACTTTACAACTTGCATATCTCTGTTCGACATGATACATGATTCCTCCCTCTCCCCCAACTATCTCGCCGGATAATTCTCTGGTAATTCTGACAATTTTGTCCCAGGTCAATTTTCAAGGTTCTGACAAACTGCACTGAAGTTTGTGGGGGAAGAAAAATTAACTTGACCCACGATACAGCTGTTGCTGATGATGCAAGCAAATTTCCACCGATGCTAAGAGTGACTCAGCCCCTGGCTAACAACAGATGGTCTGTATATGTCACCTAGTAAACCAGTTTCTGTTACCTGATCAATTGCCACGGTTCATCAACCCATGGTCAATGCCTTCCGAGCACAAAATTGTGCACTGCTTCCCTTCGTGATCGAATGTCCAGAGCTCAAATAGCTCTTAA